TGCAATGGAGAGACAACAGATGGTAAGAGAAACGAAGGAGCGCTCGGTGCCGATATGTCCGTAGTTTTTGCGGTTACGAATCGCCTATACCTCACTTTACTTTGTTGAATAATTATTTATGTGCATGGTTTTTTCCTTGCGAAGTTTTTTTGATTTGTGCAAAAATTTTTTTAGTATGGTTGAATCTGCTCAAAGTCTGCAACTAGCCAAGATAATTTTTCCTCTTGTCTGTAGAGTATAGACTATAGCCGGATTAACTATTTCGGATATCCAAAAGAAAATTTGCAATTTTCATCACAATCAGGCATTATTTATACATAAAGAGAAGGAATAAAAAATAATAAATTGGCACACAAGTTTTGCAACTTATTTCGTAACTTTTCTCTTTTTGGCTGTGACGCATTCATTTTTGAGCAGAATGTCGATTAGACGGTAGGCTACAAACCAGTGTAAACATTTTAATTTTTGGTGGCGAAATGGAGAAAATTTACTCATTTTTTGGAAACTGGTCAAATCCGAAATTTCAAGGGTCGGAAAACCATAAATATAGCCGTTCTCAGTCTAAACCAAACAGATCAAGCCGAAACTGTGTTGATGATTAGAGTTTTCTCTGTCAATAATCTGGGCATAGTTTCGGCTTGATATGTTCAATTTAGACTGAGAACGGCTTATTTTTGGTTTTCCGACCCTTGAAATTTCGGATTCGACTAGCTTCCGAAAAATGAGCAAATTTTCTCCAGTTCGAAACCAAAAATCAAATTGTTCGCGCGGGTTTGTGCCTACCATCTAATCGACATTCTGTTAAAAAGTGAATGCGTCACAGTCAAAAAAGAAAAGGCACAAAATAAGTTGCAAAACTTATGTGCCAACCTAATAAATAAGGATACAAATTTCCTATTTCATTTGCGGAGTGACCCCTAGAGAGAAATTTAAGAAAAGGACGGCTTTCTCTGAATCCTGTGAAATGACGCTGATTTGAATGTTATCATTTTTATAGTTTCTGAGCTGCTTCCTCAGCACTGTGCTTATAGCGTTGCGCTTTTTTTATACTAAATCACTGTGTGCGTTACTTTGCTCACTAGCAAAATCCTTTATCACCCATGCCACCGCCTTTGAACCCCATTAACATTGACCGCGACAGTACTAACTATGTGCCCCCTATTTTCGAAATCGGAACACTATCATCGTTCCGTCACCATCATCATCGAATTGCGGTATGATGTCGTCGTCATGATGCTCTGATTTTCTCCACACCGCATTCCCACCCATGAGAAACTTGCCGAAGTGGGCGTGGTCGGACGGCGCTAGTAGTGCGCATCTCCGAGGCGAGATGAGCCTCTACTTGGCCATATTGTTTACTATTTTACAATGGGATTATTGTCTAGCACGAGGTTTTCATGGAATTCCAGGTAAATGGAAGATTTTTTGCTGATTTTCTGTTTTTTTTTTGCTCTCAATAATCATAAATCTAAAGGTTTTGTGGAGACATACAGTTCCTAATTGCACACATCTTCTTCCCAATGATTTAAGGCAATTTTTGAATTTGCTTGCTTATCTTTATCTTTCATTGCTATGAATCTTTCTTTCTAGCCCATCCATCATTCTTCTTTCCCCTCTCTCCCATCATTTCTCACAAAATGCTACTGTTCACATTTCACAATTCCCTTTTTTTACGTCACTGCCACGAGCCAGTGCTATTTGTCAACCATATGACAATTTGAAGCAGTTATTTCTCATGAACATAATGCCGTTGAGTCATGTTTCCTCTTTTTTTGCTCTTCTTCGCCTTTTTGATGCGATGTCGTGATCAAAAGTGTTTGATCGCTGAGGTGAAAATCAAAGTCCATAGTTGATTTTTTTTCTGCTTTTTTTATTTGCCATTAAACTGTAAATGGTGAGATAAGTTCTTGGAATCGATGTAGGGAGCATTTTATTTTTCTTCCTTTTTGGAATGCGATTAAAGGGTTTCAAACTTGAAACGTTTTGCAATAGAATGCAAACTCCATCCTCTTATTCTTAGAAGTTCTTCCGTTGAGGTCAACGAGAGCACTTATAGTGAAGGATTCGTTTTTTGCTGAGATTTCTCGATTAACCTATCTACTAAAAGTCATAATTTGCAGTCTTTTGCCCATTTCAATATTTCTTGATATTTTTCAAGGGAATGAAGAAGTGCTAAAATAGATGCTACATATCCCAGGAGTCTTATTAAGCTTTGCACGACTCTTTTAGCATTTTCTCCCCTGCAGCTTGCATGTTCACCCTGCAAATCGGTTCCACTCATACGTGCGAATATTCTGTTACAATGCCTATTTGTTGATTTTATTTTATTTTCATTCTTTTGCTTGATCGTCATTTCGAGCATTTTTTGCCGCAAACACCTGCAAATGTGAATTTTTCAGTTCTTCTCTGCTAATTGCTAGTGTAGTTGTCCTTTTGATGGGCAAATCGTTTCTGTTTGACTGATAGTAGCAAGATTTTAGTCTCTTTTTTTGCTGCTCATTAAGCATCTAATCAGGCAGAACAGATTAGTTGAATAGGTCATAGAAAGAGCTACCGCTACAATGAAAATTCGTATCACCCGTTTTTTTTCTCGAATTAAACATATCGATTCATATGTAAAAGAAACAGGCATTATAGTGGGGGGCGTTAAATGTGTATATTCGGATATTTTCACACATTTTGAGAGAGAAAGAATTGAGAAAATTGTTTGATCGATCTATTCGGCACCCCACAAGGACGACTATGAAGAGATATTATTTTGAGAAATGTGCTATGGTGTATGAATTTTTGAAAATACAGTAACGGTCAAGGCAATGACATTATGCTATTAAATCATCAGAAAATCCAAGTTTATGCTGTAGAATCGAAATTTCATTTTGAAACTGAAAAAATTGTTGCAAGCTTCTAGATCGACCAATATACTTGATCGTGATCAATTTTATTCAAAATTAGTAAAACCCTATATCAAAGTATTATCATCTGGAACCGTCGTTTTAGAATTAATTTTGATAATCTACGTTTTTCTTTAAATTTTTTAGAAGTGTTGTCGAAAAAACTTGGCTTCAAAGTGTTTCATTACTGGAATGCTATAAGGTATAAGGATTTGTCTTCCAGTTGTTATTGTTAGGATCATCTGAGATGAGAGCCTTTATCTCGTAAGATTTGTTGACATGAGGTGTGTTTGCGTAAGATTTGTTGTGGACATGTGTTTGCAGATAAAAATTGGGGTGAATAATAATATTTTCTCTTTATTGTCTCCTGTAGCCATCGTTTCTATTTGTAAGATTGAGGTCTTTCTTATTTTCTAATAGCTACATTCATGGTTGACTTGCTGTTTGCTTTAGGAATAGAGTTATTTTCTTTGAAAAGTAGAAGTCACAGTCTGAGCTTTTCTCTAGGATGGTCAAATATGCAATCACTTCATTGTTGTCCACAGCAGGAACTAACGTATCAACTTAGTCAAGCGTAAACGTATTCAACTCTTTTTATCCCGTTTCTCTTCCCAACTTTCTTTCTTTCTTTTCCTCCTCTCCATTTGTTTTCATTCATCAGGCTAGACTACGCAACCCTTGGAGCTATCATCAAGATAAAGATTTATGAATTGTTTGCGAATAGTGGAAAATACATTTTACCTGATTTTGAAATAATTTTAGGTTTTTTGGTGTTTTCCTTTTGGAAAATATTGTGTTAAGCGACATTTGTGTACCACCTCTCTATCAATGATCATATATGGCAAATGTAGCAATTGCTACGATTCTGTCTCTAGAGTGTCAAGCGCAGCATATAGAACATTTTGAGTTGTGATTGATTGATCAACCATTCCTTTTTTCTGCAGTTGAAAGGGCCATGGGATGATACTGGGGCTAAGCAGCGATGGTCGTAGGTCCTGCAGGTTTCTTTGACTTTGACTGCAGTTATTAGATTGCGTCCTTTTTTAGAACTAAGCCTAGTTATATTTATGCATTTTGACAGTAGTATTATCATTCGCGTAAATATCATATTCTATTCTCTTCTACAAGTTTTCTTGTAAAAGTATTCGCACAGTCATCAAGTGCCAATGGCATCACAAAACGTTTTTACCATTACTAGAGTCAGAAGATACAGTTACATAGAGTCATTTCTTGAACTGGTTTCTCTAGGAAAGGGCGATCAAGCAGAAGAATTAGAAGAAGAAGAGTTAGGAGTCTGTCCGTGTACAACACTGTACACGTGCCGGCTGCAAAGTACATATGAGATTTTTGGGAATGATGTGGAATTGATGGATCAATTCTGTTCGTGAAAGCATTTGCTTATTTTGCAGAATGATCGAGTACTATGTTCAAGAAGCGTTATGTTGATTAATGTCCTGAAGCTTGTTTAAGCAAGAAGTAACTCAGAAATACCAAGGTCCATTAACTTGGCCCATTACTACATGATAAATGATACACATTTTGATTGATCTTATCTATTAGATGTAAAAGTTAATGCAGAAAAATACAGAATTTTCCTTGGTGTCTAAAATCGATTTCTCCTTTCGAAAAATAAATAAATTTGCTTTTTTGCCATTATAACAATAAACATCTTCGTTCAAATCCTATTGAGAGAAATGCTACGAACCAAGTCTTTACTCCATAATTCGCCCCATCCTCTTCTATCTTCTTTTTTCTGTTTTTTTTTGTTTTTCTCATTCCTATCATTTTTTGTGCCATCCCTCTAGTAGAAAAAACCACTTGAATAAGACGAGCAATTCTGACGATTTGAAGAAGTTATATCAAGTATATTTTTTGGATGACTTTTGACTTTCACTATGTGATGTTTTGACTAATGCTTCGCTTGAGTTGTAGAGAAATTTCTGGAAAAATCTTCCATGCATATTATTCTCAACGAAAAGTGTAATACATGAACTCATGTATCTTTGTATAGACAGTTAGATTTTCTATGCATTCCTTACACTTAACCGATTATACTTACCATTCCTGAGCTTTACATAATTTGAATTTGCAACAGGTCAGCTTTTTTCCATGAAAAAGGAGCGCGTTTACTTTGCAAAAATGTGTCGTAACCGTTGCATCGCACCTCGTAGGGTGTTTATTCTTATTTATCAAATTAGGAGAATTTGTTTTGTTTTTTTCTTGTGTTATGAGACTTTTTAAATCCGGTAGAGTTGCTGTTTACACAAGTTTACACAGTTTACACTCTTCTTCTCGAGATGATATTGAAGAAGACATATTCATCATATTCTATGAAGCAGCAGTGACAATTTTATTTTTCGTCTTTACAAAATAACGTTGTTCGAGACACGAATTTTACGGTTTAGAAACCAGTTTGTCATTTTTCATATAGAAGTATATGTAATCTAATGTCTAACTTTTGATGTCGCACTTTTTTCAACAATAAACTTTGTTTGCTCTTCAGCTACAAGGTTGAGTAGCACTAAAAATTGATACTCTTCTTTGATGTGAATTTGAATAGGTTTTCCGTTACCTGTGTAATCTAAAATTTGTAGATGCGCTTCTGAAAACGAAGGGTTCTTTCCTGAATGAAAATAGAAGTTTAGCATCTTAGTTAATCATTTAGAAATTTTGGTTTTTTATAATAACCAGGGCTCGGCACGAGAGCTTATCGAAAATGCAAAAACCAAGTCCGCTTTGACTCTCCCTTAATTTTACAAAGTACTCTTTGACCTAAGCCATAATGAAAAAACCTTCGAAAAACAAAACTTAGACTAAAAAAACTTCGCATTTTTCGGCCGCAACGATATCCCCTTTGCTTTTTATCACAAAAACGATATCCAACTTGCTTATAAGTTACCTGCACCGAGCTCTGATAATAACATCATTTCCATACGCTCTTTCCATTAAAGTTTTTTTGAATAGGTTTGCTGTTACCTGTGTAATGAAAGATTTATGGATGCACTTCTGAAAACGAAGGGTTTGCTGAATATAAATTATTAATATCTTAGTCAATCGCTTAAAAATTTGTGGATTTTCATGATGGCAATCGCTTTCATGAACACCTCAGTTTTGCCAGTTCTTAGCCATTTTCCTAACCTTGGTTGTTCAAGAATCCAAACAAGATGCTAAACAATTTTTTGAGCCCTAACCAAGTTTTTCTTCTTCAGGCCAATACTGCGCAGTTCGAACACCGACATGTTGTGAGAATCGCGACGATGAATGCACAGCGCCTATCCTTGGCGATCACCTTTGCTATTGCGATATGTTCTGCGATCGGGGACCGGATGGAGGTGGCTCATTACATTATTATTGTTCATCAAATGATTATCTATAATCCATTCTGAATTCCTTAATGAACTAAAGCTGCTTGAACATCCATTGGAAATGAATTTATTGCAGGTAATGACTGTTGTCCAGACTTTGAAGCAACATGTCGAGGCATTCGTCCACATCATCATCATGAAGACTTGAATGGGCAAGGTATCTATAGCCTTTTGATCATGCAAATACAAATAAGCCAAACTTGATTTTAAGAATGTGTATCGGATGGAGTACATTACCGGGAAGGTGATTCGATTGAGCAAAACTGCCAGACATGGTAAGTAATCAAATTAGTATCAGTTGCAAAAGCAGTTTCTTTGTTACGGAACAATTTCTAAAAAAAATCCTTTCCTGCAAGATCTTTGCTACGCTGAAAATTTGTAGATGTTTCTCTATCTTGCTTGTTTCGAGTATTTGACTCCTCTCTTTTTGGAAGATTATAAAGCCATTTGATTTGAGTCTACATTTTTTTCATCTCGGTTGCATAGAGCCCCTATCTGCTTGCTAATAAGTAAGCATTGCGGAAATTACATATCAATTGCTAATAGTTTCTACTATTGCCTTTTGATTGCCTTATGCAAATGAGTGACAGGCCAAAGAATTCACTCATTATATACAAAATTCGAATAGTATTTGAATCTATTTACCAAATGTAAATGGAAGCAACTTCTAAAACTTCCACCTTGATTTGAATAAGGAAAGAATATCTCCGAGAAAATTCTGGAGAACTGATACAGTAGTAAGAAGCGAAAATTTTCCTACAGGTATCGTCTTACAAAAGAGCCTCTAACTCGAGTGGGAACGTCGGGACTCCATAACATTGTTAAAAAAACATTTTCACGTGGTCTTCTGACGTTTGGAGAAGAAATTTCACAAGAATTTTAGAAACTACTTTTTCATTAAAGCGCCGACGGAAAGAACCGCCGCGTGATCATAATTTGATAAGATTTGACTATTTTACATTCTTAGTCGTATTCTTAGAAAAAACAATAAGCCAGGATTGCTCAAACTTGAAAAAATGGAAAAAAAACCTATTTGTGCAGAACATTTGGGAGTGTGACGATCTCTCGCTATGTTTCAGGATAATTCGATGAAAACCCTTTCTATAAAAGTAACTGATTTTTTGATGATTTTGCGAATACTGTAAGGTTTTCTTTTCGAGTATCAAAAGACCACGTGAAAATGATTCTGAACAAATTATGAAGTTCCGACGTTTCGTCAGGATCACTACGTCGCAGGCCGTCTTTCTACCTGAGTTGGGAGCTCAATTGCATACGACCTAATTTCAAAGCTTATTGACTTGTGCTTTCTAATAATGATTTCAGTTAGGACTGACTGTGAGCAGTTTACAGAAACTTTTTCGAAGGTTGTAGTTAGAAGGACCTAGCTGAAAAGAAAAATATAGCGTGATTTACAATCTACTCTCACAACGAATCTACCAAAAACATGACTTTGTACAAGTAGGTTGTAAAGACAAGAATGTGGCTTTTCACGGAACCACAACAAGGCAAACCCCCAAAAAAGTTTATAAAGGGCACTACTCGATAGAGCAAAACAAGCTGTACAAGATGAAGTACCTGGGGTCTGTGTAAAACGTAATTTATGTAAGGTTAGAAGCCATATAAATATTATCCCATTTATTTCATAATTTATTTTTTATTTTTTATTTATTATCTTATTTTTTCATATTCCATATTTTTAGCTAATATTTCATTGCCACCAAAACAATTGGATCTTGGTCCAAAAATGTTTTTAAGACATTCATATGTATTTCGATTTTTTGGGGTGATCAATTGCTCCTAAATTTTTTGCCTTAAGCTTTACGTGAGCTCCGATTCATTCGGACTTTGTTGGCCATTTTGTGGACTTTGCCGATTTTTGGGGTCCTTCTTGCTAAATTTTCTTTTGTGAAAAACGGCATTCCTCACATTTCAATAGATTGAGAAACTTTTGGGCATTCTATCAATAAAAAAAACTCTTTTTTCCAAGCATGCACAGCATTTACATTCTTATTCTGGGATTGCCATGGCTCTCAAAGCTTCGAAAAACCAGAACTAAATATTTTCTGCGAGGATCACAAACTTGGCTGTCTTCATTGGAATTTTGGCATCAAACTTTTTTAGCTCTTGCATGGATGGCATGTGGAAATGCGATGAATCAACCTGCCTAATCCAGGAAGATCTTTTGGAAAAGGTCAACCAAGGACGATATTCGTTAGTTTTTTATTGTTAATTTTAAAGATCAATCGATATCACTAATATCCCAATCAGTGCTCGAAGGGCAATCTCCCATATCGCTACGTTATGATCATAGTAGTGCGCAACAGAGGAGATTCCGCCACGTCTCTCCGAATTGAGACGTCTATGATGAACGAACTGATGAGTGGCGACCCCCAAATATTGCAATGACTATTACACACTATCCGTTGCGCGAAATCCTTGCACATACCGTTGTTTATGGGCATTGTACTTACATATGATGCCCGCTCATGCTACGCATCAGTTCCGTAACAGATACTTCAGTCCCGCAGTCTTCGCAAATTATCTGCGCCAACGGAAAGTGAAGTCGACGATACACTTTCAACCCTTCTGGAAGCAGCGTCCAGGCAAATCTGGAAATATGGGGATCTTAAGTGCATAAATAGCAATTTTGGGGCCCTAACTAAGCAACTGCCCAACCGGTAGCTCAGGTAGTGCTCTAACGGCTGAGATATTCACCTCGAAACTGGACCCCAGGATCGTGTTTCGCATGGATTCATGGCGCGACACATCAGTTTCGCGTGGGTCCTGGCGCGAAATTGATGGGTTGCGCCACGAATCCATGCTACGATCGTGAGATCCTGTTGGAGGCGTATATCTCAGCCGTTAGTGAGTCACCTGCGCTGCCGGTTGGGGAGTGCCTTAGTTAGGGCCCCAAAGTTACTTTCCGTAAAATCCGTTTTTCCGTTTTTTACGTAAAATCCCCGGTCCAGATTTGTCTGGACGCTGCCTAGGTACTATCAGTTTAGGGAAATCATAGGCAGCGTCCATAATGGTTTCAAAGTTTCTAGCAATACCCATTTTGGTTCGAAACAAAAGAATCCAAAATCTATAAATCAATTTCCACTTCTTCCAACTCTTTGTAACTCTACATGACAATTATGCTGTACCCAAAGGAAGACAAGAAAAATAACGTCCGACTTTTTGTAAAACAATTATGGGAAAAAAGGGCAGAGATATAAAAATGGAGAATGAGAAGTTGCGCATTTACCGTAAAAGCCTCATTTCTCGTAGCCAAAGCCAATAGAATCTTATATACAGGGTGTCCCAAAAAAATGTACCGAACGTTTGATCGTTGATATCTCTCTTCCCAAGAAGTCTTTTGCCTTGCTTCAGGTACCGTTTTGTAAAGCTGGCTTCGACTTAAATTTGCAATATGGAATGAATCATTTATCGCTTTTCATTACTGCAGGATTACGGTAGAAAAAACATATGGTGTCAATGTGGAAAAAGCTGCCGTTTCAAAATTTTTCAAAAAAAAAATGTGAAAACATGTGTAATAGGGTTTTTATGGACGCTGAGTTCAATACTCAACTATTCACAAGATTATGAGGCTTTCTAAACGGTGCAATCGCACTTTTTAAGAACATTGAAAAAATGGCCGCTACCTCTTACCTGGCATAACTCTTCAATGAAGCATCATAATAAGTCGGAAACTTTACAGTTGTAATCAGCAACTCTAATTAGCCTACTGTAAAAGTTATCAGGCTGTTTTGTTTCTTTTCTGAGGCAAAATATGGCCTTTCATTGCTCAAACCCCTCTTTGAAGTTTCTACCGTAATCCTACAGTAATGAAGAGAGATGGGTGTTTCATTTTATAATACAAATCTAAGTTGAAGCCAGCTCTACGGATTGGTACCTGAAGCAAGGGAAAAGACTTTTTTAGAAGAGAGATATTAACGATCAAACGTTCGATACATTTTTTTGGGACACCCTGTATAAAGCTGAATGTCTGTTTGTCTGTCTGTCTGTATGTCTGTCTGTCTGTCTGTCTGTCTGTACGTATGTTCCGAATAGAAAATTCCATTTCTGAACCAATCCGGACCAAACTTGGCACACATACACTACGGGCCCCGGCGGGTGTCATGGGCTACTTTTCGTCATCGATCGATATCGATTTTATCGATTTTTTGCAAAATTTGAGCTACGGGGCTGGGAGTTGGCACAGGGGGGTAAGTGAGCATGGGGATTCCGAATACAATATTAGTTTTTAAAATCGTGCATTACTTTTATCGATTTTATCGATTTTTTTGCAAAGTTTGAGCTACGGGGCTGGGATTTGGCACAGAGGGGTAATCGAGCATGCTGATCACCCCCGTGGGGGTGATCAGCATGCTCGATTGCACCCCTCTGCCAAATTCCAGCCCCGTAGCTCAAATTTTGCAAAAAATCGATAAAATCGACATCAATCGATAACGAAAAGTGGACTGTGACACCCGCCGGGGCCCGAAGTGTATGTGTGCCAAATTTGATTCGGATAGGTTAAGAAATGGAATTTTCTATTCGGAACATACGGCGGAGCCGGGTAAGCCAGCTAGTTGTTAATAATTTTTGAAAATAGTCGTGAATCAAGTAAACCTTCATCCGTATATATTGTTGTACTACAATGTTTGGATTGAATATGTTTGGTAAAACAGCTCTTCTTGCTATTGTGTGCATTTACACATTTTCCACGATATGGTTGGATATGGGGTCTAGTTCAGGTTTTTCCTGCGCTTATCCATTGTCTTCCTTGCTGTTTGTACACAGTCGTATCTAAAGAAGCATGAGTGTTTACGTTTCTTTATTTCCTTCCCTAGAGGCCGGCTCTTTGTTTTCACATCCTGAAAATGGAGGTTCATGCAATGCAGGTAGCCAATTTGTGTTAGTTTGTGACATAAGTCTTGCACCAAAATATCTTTACCGCAATGTTCTGATAAATATTTCGATGGAGCAAAGCTAGCTCTATAGTGTTCAAATGCCTACGCCAGCTTTGGTCCGCGCAAAATTTGCAGCCAAACAATCCATGCACCCGAAAATCTAGCAAAAATTCACGAAGTCACAACTCCGTTCAAAATAATCTTACGAAAATAATTAATCGCTGACGGATGTACTTCTTTCTCAATTAGAAAGTCGAGAAAGCGAAGATTTTCACGTTTTTGTCAAATCCCCGAGCCGATACAGCTGTAACACTCATATTGGATGGCTTATATAAGTGTTTAATAGGAATGTATATGCGTGACCCAGTGAAGATTTTCGTAGAATTTTTTCCTTAACAAAGTTGTGAATTTTTTAAGCTTTTTCGCTTTTTTGGATGCGCTGAGTTTTTCTTTCAGTTTTAGCTGGATCAAAGTTGATGCAAAAATTCAGGTACTATTCTGTAGATCACATTTCAGGTGCTATTCTGTAGATCAAACTTCAGGGACTATTTTTTGGAGCTAGCTTTACCCTATCAAATCGTAAAGTACTGCGGTCTGAACCTATACTGGTGCAAGATTTATGTTACAAGTTTATAATTGCAAGAATCTGGACGTCTTTCTGAAATCAAAGTTTTTGCATATGGTCGATGATGATAGAGTTTGAAATCGCATACATAAAGCTTTGCATCTATCTTCATTATTACCTTGGTTGTCGCAAAGCTGGAGCACACTTTACCTTCAAGACTGTGAGGCTTGAGAGTTTTGTGTCTCGGAAGAACTGCGTAACATTGGTTTGTCGAAGAGAAAACGGTGGTTGGAGGGAGTGAGACTTTTTGCTCTGTTTCAGTCTCGACTTTTTCCCATAAATTCCTTATTGCATTAGTGTGTCCCGTTGCGGCTATCAGTGGCCCACTTTGTAAGGAATCTTTCCAAAAAGTGTCGCATTAGGCCCTCTCTCATAACCAGCTGACCGACTACCGAGCTACTCCAGCAAACCCGTTCGATGATAAGCACGCATGTTCAAGGGCACAAATGCGTAAAAACCCGGCAACCAATGATATTTCATTCATTAAATGGGTAGAAGAGAGGGGACACCAATTTGGAGTGATGAACTGAAAAATAAGAAATTAGCAGGTCAAAAGATAACCCTTCACACTTTTTCGTTATAATTATACTATATAAAGTTTCTTAACTTTTACTGAATCTCTTGATAGAGTTGGGCGCTAATTTCAGATGGAATGCACGAAACTACTCCTTTTTCTGGGGACGAAGCCTCGATGAAGGAATCAAATATCGCCTTGGAACCCTGTTCCCTGAGCAATCTGTGCAGAATATGAACGAAATCGTGATAAAGCCACGTGAATTGCCGCCATATTTTGACGCGCGAGAAAAGTATGTCCTCTTTTTTTCTATCACGTTCTGGATGACGGAAAATTTCCGGAATTCAGATGGCCTGGAATGATCCATGAAGTAAGGGATCAAGGTGATTGTGGTAGCAGTTGGGCTGTCTCGACCACGACTATTTCTTCGGACAGGTAAAAAAATTTTTCAAATTTTTCCTCTATTTTTCAATAATTTGCCTCATTTAGACTTGCTATTATCACCGATGGGCGCGTGAATGCTACTATATCACCTCAGCAGCTTTTGTCCTGTAACCAGCATCGTCAGCGTGGTTGTGAAGGTGGTTATCTGGATAGAGCTTGGTGGTATATTAGGAAGCTTGGGTAAGTAAATCGCTTAAACGGTCTTTTCCATGCTTGATTTTTCGAAGGCTTTATCATGGTACTTTTCGTAGTTAATTTTTTGGGGATTTTGATTGCCATAATAGGCGGACAAAACGCATTTTATTTCTCAGTGGTTCATTTCCATCGTCTTTTGAAGAAATTTGTTAAACTACCATTTTCTTTCTCAGTTTTTCAAAAGAAAAATTCTTCATGAAATTCAATAAGGTTGACAGGTGACTGTTGTCGACATTAGATCCGTATATCATGAGTCATTAATCATTCAAACGGTTTTTAGCATATTCATTGTTATAGTACCGCCTTATAAAACTTTTACATAACATCAAAGTAGTGCTTGTTCAATTCCAGTTTGAATTTTGAATATGAGTTCGCTGCTTCTTCTCAAGCTGTCAGATTTGTTGCACTTTCCTAAGTGGTGTTTGCTTTTTCGAATAAAAAACACGCTTCAATCCAAAAATTACCAAAAAAATCTATTGAAAGCGATTATTGGCGAAAAGATATCAGCGATGTTCTTGTATTCAAGGTCATTTCACACTTTTCTTTACTGATATTGGCCTTCACGCTAAAAAGTAAGTGGAAAATTTCCATATCATAACTTCACACTTCATAAACCTCAACATATGTAAACCTTGCTGCAAAAGCACTTTTCATTTATTCTAGCGGGCTTCCTGGCCAAATCCATTTTTGCATGATTTTTAGATTTTTATCCCCACCTCTGCCCTTTGTTACTTCAAAATTTTGGTCAATGAGCTTCGTGCATAATTTAAGAGGTAGTTCAAAAAGCTCTTCAGTAGCTTTGCACTGATGCAGAGCAAATCTTTTTGTAGCTTCCGGGAACTACGTAATTTTGACGTTTGAAGCCTTGCCTCTCATAATCGAACCTATGTCTGTCAATGTAGTCAATGTTTGTAATTTTGCACGACACAAAACCGACCCAAATTCGGTTTGAGTACTCGTTTATCCTTGAAATTGTCCATAAATCACCTCCGGCACAATAAACTATGTTTTTCTGTCGTAACCGCACAAAGTGACACTCATTAACGCCATAAATTCATAGCGCTGATGGAGCTGAACGCTATCCGTGACAGCGCAGAGTACAACGGTAGTCCAGTTTCTCAAACCGAACGTGAATATTTCAGTGTCGTTGATGAACAGTGTTATCCGTACGAGTCGGGTCACACTCGCGAACCGGGCGATTGTCGAATTCCGAAACGAAGTTACAAGGTGAGAATAATTCAACAAAATTCACTTAAACGGTTGATGTCCGAGTGTTGATGAACGTTCAAACTCGATTTGTCCAGGCGATTGGCGATGCGACGGGAGTGTTAAGATCGCATTCGTGGTCGTTTTTCAGGAGAAAACGCCAGGAGTTATCTGATGTAACAAAGATCGAGCTAAATATGTGAAATGCTTGTAGATTAGCAGTGATTGCCTAGGAATTTTATTGTTGATTTTGAGAATAATGGTCCGTTTTCAGAGTGCAAATGGCCTAACTTGTCCAGCTGGTGCACATTTGGACAGTACCGCCTACAAAATGACACCACCATATCGTGTAGCTAGCAGGTAATATTAATTGTGTTCTTCAAAAAATAATACTGCGGAACGGACGGGAAGAAATAGTTTGCTGTTGGAGAAATTTATGAAAATTCTTCGTCTGAAATGATACCGAAGCTTCACTTTGATTTTATGAAGTAGAACTGTCCCAGTTTGGAAATTTGTTGATTTATTTTTGAAAATTTTTGAAAAAAAAAAAGATTCATCGACGAGAGAAATTGAGCCACTACCGATCAAGTTTTCTTTTCACCTCCTTCTATCTCATTTCTTCCCGCTTCTCTTTCTACCCTTTATTCTTATCTCATTCTACATCAAAACTGAAAAGTGCGGTAAAAGCGAGTTTAAAGCTTAAAAGACGTGCTCGGTGAGAACATTGAAATTAATTTTGAAAAATGTTTTTTGCTAGATTCTGCTAGGCTTACCTCTTCCATATTGATTTTTTCAGAACTTTAAAAAAATTCCACAAATTTTTTGCACATGACTCAACATTGATGCGTACCATCTTTGAATACCGGTCTCAAAGCCATAAATTTGCTGTGGTTTATCGCCGCATTTGACGCGATTAGAATTCGCAGCTTTCTGCGGTATAGCAATAATTTCGAAAGCGAAAATTGCGCTTACAGAGAAGAGGACATTATGACGGAAATCATCACCAATGGACCTGTGCAAGCAACGTTCGTAGTTCATGAGGATTTCTTCATGTATTCTGGAGGAGTGTACAGGCATACAGAATTGGCCGATGAAAAAGGAGATCGATTCACTGGAGAGGGGTACCATTCAGTTCGACTTCTCGGGTAAGTGGAAACTCCTAACAGACCAAATTTGGATATCTGGACTTCCTACGTGGACTGCTTGGGAGATCTTATCTGAAAGATAGCCTGAGCGACAGACTACACGATTCATTCGCTTTTGAGAAGTATACCCGTAAACTCTGGCCCGGTACCGTATTCGAATGCTGACGGCCGAGGACTATGGTACTGGGCGAGAGTTTAGAGTTGATTTTCTGGCCTTGAATAAATCGTAGAATTGCCGCCTGTGTAAGGGCCTAATTACGACTTTTCAATCATTCCCACATAAAAAGTGCAGATTGCTGCTTTGAAAAAGATTGTGATTACTTTGGCTAAATAAATTTTATTTTAGATGGGGTGTTGATCACTCAACTGGGCGAGATATCCCTTACTGGCTAGCAGCCAACTCCTGGGGAAAGCAGTGGGGCGAAAATGGATTGTTTAGAATTCTACGAGGAGACAATCACTGCGAAATTGAGAGCTTTGTCATAGGTAGGTATTAAAAAAAAACCCATTGGCCTAAACTTGTGTAAAATTTTTGAGAAAAATTTTGAAGTCATGTTTTCCAGTTTTGCAATTCCCACAATTCAAGAGCTTCAGTTAAGTCTGATTCTTCAAAAATTAAATAAAATTTTTTTAGGAGCATGGGGCAAAGGCGCTAAGCGACGACGGCGTTTCAAGATGCGTAAGATGCGCAGAAGATTCCGAAAGCTATAAAGTACTAACTCAATTTCCCTCTCCATGACTTTGTCTTGTTACCTTTGTCTCTCTGGTCGCGTTTATACTAGCTCGCGCGCTTACTGTGCGCTCCTCGCCGAGACGCGACCTCCTCATCACTGCTCGTGTTCACCACTGCTTCCACGCTTTCATCTCGAAAACAGGGCCGTTCATGTTGTATTGTGTGTGTATTGTGTATGTTTTTCTAGGTGGAATTCCTTAAATTCTGTGTTTTTAGTGGCTTTTTAGCTGTTTCTGTCCTTGTTTTTGGTTTCCATAATTTTTCTCCTCGAGTTTTTCTATTTCATCAGAAACTGCCACTAGATACTGCTCGTGTATAGCCTCAATCGTATATCCTCGACGTATTTCACTATTTTTTCTACTGCCTGCCAGCCAGCCAGCTTTCCGGTGTGTTAAGTTGCTGAGTTTTTTTTCCTAATGAAATATTTTCATAGGTGAAAACCATTGTGGTTTTCTACAATGTCTTCGCGTTTCATCGATTTCGATGTTGAAGGAGAGTATGTAAAGCATAAGTAAAAAACAGCATATTTGCGTATTAATCACCTGCGTCAGAATGACCTTAGTCTGATCAATATGGTCTTCAGCAATAAAGTGCAAAATGTGGAAATTTTCGAGATTTCTTCATTTCCCTGAAAGTGTTGTCTCAACTGATCGCAAACAAGGTACGTTGCTTCAAAACATCCATATGGTTGCTTTTCAAACAACTTTTATGTGGTTAGGTGAAATTTTATACAACTTTTAGGTCATGGCCAAACTTCGCTCAGAAGCACCCAAAAGCGCCCAAATTTCTCCGGTGTCTCTTCACTTTCTTGTGTGAGGAGAGATGAGAGAGTGGGTGAGGAGAGGTTAAAGAAGTTTGAGCGCTTTTGGGCGTTTTTGAGCGAAGTCTGGCCAGGGCCTTAATGTACTCTGTCTCAACTGCAATGTCCCTCTTGCGTGCGGCTATTCATCCGCAGCGCGAAGGCCTCGCGCGCAGATGCAGTCAAATTTAGTTGCTCGAACCAAACGCTCGCGAGTCAGACGTTTCAAAATCATAGGTTTTAATTTACATGAGAATAAGGTGATTTGAGTTTTTCTTTATATATCAGTTTTGGACTGAGAGCTTGAAAAAATGTGCAACAAATCCCTACTCATATTCATTTTGCTACTGCAATTAACTCATAAACTGCGACAAATGGTACTATTGAGTTAAAATTCTCTTTATTGTTCTAAAAATAATTTATTTTTCTGATTTTCTAGCTAGGCTTATTCATGGATTTACCAGTTCGTATCATTTTTAGGTTTTAGCAGAATTTTGAAATGGATAATCCCAATTACTTGTATGCGCAGCACGTAAGCTATATCAATCAGTTCATTTCAGTACTGCATCCTTTCAAACTTAAACTCTTGGAACAGGGATTCCACAAAATTGTGAAATCTGAAGATAATTTTGACAATGACGCATGTGACCAAAAATTCTTTGTGTTCTGAAGCGATACTTAATGACTCTAGCGAACCCGTTCAGCGTCATTTCCGACGTTTACCTGAAGCTCGTGAGCGTAATATAGCTTTATGTGACATTAAACTCATCAGACCGCTATCAACACTATCATAAAGGGCATTTGAAACCGGTCCAAATTTTCGCAACCCCACTGCGAGGAAAGTTGCGACATTCTCGGGTCACGGACGGGTCATGACGAGTAGAAGAAAGTTTCAGGTGAAACATAATGGGAGAGAAAGGGAATCTTTGACACAAAAGTTCAAACATATCAATTAACGAAAATGGGTTGGGTGGAGACGATGATGACCTTCTGAAGGTTTTGCAACATGCAAAAAACCTGCTTGTCAATGATAAGGATGGATATGGTCACAAGAACTTTGCTCAGATTTTTATTGTAAAGGGGTTTTAGAACCTGGTAATATTATAATACTTGATAGCACTAAGCATGGATCGTTATACTTCTGGAAATACTTCTGGAAAACTCAAGTAAGTGGAAGTCTTCACTTATAAGTTCCAAACAGCATTGATACAAGCTATTCTTTCCAAGACTTGGAATGTTAAAATTTCAAAAAGACTGCTTCTAACTTCTTTAGTATTAGGTTGAATAAGTTCTGTGCTTTTAAATTCAAAAAATTTGCAACTGCTCCCCATATGGACGCGATTGCTTACAATAAATCTTACCAGAAAAAACCATCTAGATACTTCCTCATGACATCTTCGCCGCTTTTGACGACAAGGGACTCCAACCACTCTAGCCCTCGATATTTTAAAATAAATTGTCAGAAATCTGAAACGCTGCAGAATGGACTGAGAACATGTTTCTTACAATCTACGTAAGCCGGTCTTATTAATTTTGCAGAATTTGTGCTGACCAAGCTTTTCTCTGCGAAGACATAATTTTCGAAATAAATTGGCAAAAATACTTTTTTTCTCATTTTGCTGCATTTTTTTAGAAATCGTAGATTTCCATGGAAAAGCTCACTTCATAAAGACTCTGCACCATGGAAAGAACAGCTTTCATAGTTGTAAGGAACATGCTTTCAATTTTTTCTGCACCGTTCCAGATTTCTGACGATTTATTTTGAATTATCGAGAGCAAGAGTGGTTCTCCTATTCGAATTTTTATCTCCGGAGTCTTTGGTCGTCGGAAGCCCGAAGATGTTACCAGAAAGAGGATGACTATGTATATTAGGCTGCTGCATAAGTTCTGTCCGATTTTTTTGCCTTGTGTTTGAAGCAGCTGTTCTAAGAGAATTTCATCCTCAATGCAGTATTGTTAGTATCATTGGAAAGTGCCTTTCCTGCTCTTTCTAACGCATATCAAATTTCATAAATTTCTTGGTGTAAGAATCCCTTGTAAGAATTTAAGCCCTAAAATCAAGTGGCCGAGGTACGTTCTCACCCTAAACATATGTTCTTGCAAGGAAATCTTTACAATGCGCCCTTCAAGTCAAGTTCTTCTCTTGGTTGCAGAATAAGGATCTAAAAGTGTAGTATATGCACAAGCGCAAATCCATGAAGAAAACGTCTTGTTAGTAAAATATGTTGTGGAACATTAATTTTCTGTATAGACGTTTTACAAGCAATAACATTCTGCGAGTAGAAGTAATCGATGAGTTCAAAATTGGAGGTGCTATGGTAAAGCAAGAGCTAGCAGAGCCCATCCACCAATTCCTTTTCGGCGCTCACGTCAAATGTAAAATTTTCATGATTCGTAAACAGGCATGCATACATGCGCTGAAGCGAGTTCAACAAGTGGCTTCTTTTTTGCTCGGTCAAAGGAAATAACTTTCTCTTGGCAACGCAGACCCTATGGAACGAAAATTTCTCGATCTATCCATTATTAGATAAGATGCCAACTCTCGTAAGGGGGCATTGCCATGTCAAAAAAGACAGGTTTGAAGAAAAACGCTGCTGAGTTTTTGAGTTCTTGCTACTTCCTCAACAAGGATTTTCGCAGGTCTCAATGTGTATCTGATAGTCAAGGAACCGCTCAACACATAGAACTAAGATCTCGGCAAAAAGTTGTCTTTGAGTGAAGTTATGACATTTTCAACTCAAAAAATTCAAATCGGACAGAGCTTATGCAGCAGCCTAAAACATTCATATAGAGAGCAGTCACGAATTTGACAGATCTGAAGCGACGGAACTTTCGGTTCAACCTGATATATTCCTTATTTATCATGCTCTGCTAGAAGGCGATGCCGGTCCCAACAACTGTCCAAATTTGTGCATATCCGTTCTATTAGGCGAATGCAAAAGTTTGTGACGTTATTTAGACCTACCCTCAAACCATTCAGAATAATGATAGACGAACCCTCTAAGCATTATTCTATGCATAAGTTCTTTCTCTTTCCAGCAGTAACGTTCTTGTTTGGGTTCCTTCGATGTTCTTACAAATAATCGTCACGATCTCCAACCCATGCATTTTACGTACCCCAAGTTTAGGTACTTTCATAAAATTTTCGTTCAGGACTTATGAAAAAGTTTCAGTAACAAGTGGATAGAGTAAACAAAATTCTACAAAACCCCTTTTTTGCATTGATAGCTAGCTTCTCAGTACTTACAAAAACAAGTTTTCGAAAAGTCTTCATGTTTGCGAAATCGTAAAACATACAAACACTACAAACACTATAACATCTTCGCAAATTGGAACCACCAAAAACCGATTATGATCAAACACTACTTAAAGAAAAACAAATGATTTTTCACCGCCTCGAAATATTTTTAAAATCAAACCAGTGCAGCCTGAGAAGGATAAAAAAACTAAAATTATGGCAATACCTTCCTCGAGGCCTTTAGTACAAATCAGAAAGAAAAAAACGTCTGCCAAAAAAAGGAGAAGAAGTTGCATCGAATGACACCCTAGCTATTTGCACTCTGACATTCTAGAGGTTTGGAGTAAACGCATTATTGAAGTAAAGATGCTTATAATATAATTTTTTCATAATTTTAGAAAATGCCGAAAAGTTGTATCAGTTTGCATTGTTTACTCTATCTCACTGTCATCAAAGCATTTTCACTAGAACGAAAATCTAAAAAATAGCAAAAGTTAGAGTAACTAAAACCATGGGCTAAGATTCTGACGATTTTTCAAGCGAACATCAAAGGACTTCGAACAAAAACATTAATGTTGGAAAGAGGAAGGAATTCTGCATAGAGCACTTTGAAGTGTCTGCTTGTCTTTATTCTAAATGATTTGCGGATAGGTCTAAAAACAGCCCGAACTTTCGGACCCACCCATACTGTTGCTCTCGAGGTAAAACAATACCTAATTAAGCATCTTGAGAGGCAGTGCCCAGTAGTAGTCTAATGAAGGCAAGTTTACAAGAATTTAAGGTCATTTTTTGTCACACTCTAAACTGACCTAGGCTATCTCGAAGCTCTTCTTCAGAGCCACTGACATTCCACAAATAAGCACTCCACATATACTATGTAATACTAGAGTGCAGATCTAGACCGAAAATGAGGAATCTTGCAAAGCTGTCTTCGTCATAGATTTCGATAGTTTGCAGCAATGCTCAGGTCTGTGAAACCATCATGTCACCCTATTTTTATCTACCGGTGAAACGCATACAAATCTGAAGCATCAGCGATATATGATAGTTAACGGAAGAAGAGATCGGATCCAATACTCGGATATATTAACAATATTTGAGGCCAACATGCGCACAAAATAGATAGAAAACAACAAACTTAAAAGTCACTCTTCCACAAGTGAATAGAAAAATCGGATTCTAATCCGGATGAAGCAATGATATTCTGGGTAGGATGACAATCAGTCGCTAAAACAACATCTTGCTGGCAATCAATTGTTTGCACAATTTCCTTCGTTTGTAAATTCCAAATATAGATTTTCTTATCCTCCGACCCGGATACGATCCATTTACCGCCAGTCACAGAGAAGTTTGAGAATATGCAGTATTTCTGGTTCACATGTCCAGTGTACGTCTTCAGACATTTGCCTTTTGTAAAATCCCACAACTTCAACGTACTGTCTAGCGTCGAGGCCAGGATATATTTGCCGTTGGGAGAAAATTTCACAAATGCCACGGGAGGGTTATCGTCGTCCACAAGGGTTTTGACACATTGGCCATTGGCGGTTTCCCAGATTCGTACCAGACCATCATAGGAGCTTGAGCAGAGGAGTGTACCATCTCGGTTGAACGACACAGCAGATACGGGATCAGCATGGGCTGGCAGCACTTTTGTGCAGAGTCCGGTACGCAAATCCCAAATCCTGAAGAGAGAGAATGTTGAAGACATCATCCAAACAAACAGAAGTTGATGAGATTCTGGTAGTGCAAACGCGGGAGCCCTAGGTAAACGCCCAAGTCCTGCAAAAAAGGTATTCTCAGGCGAGATCGCTCCAGAAGGTAGAAGCGTCAGTGGTCGCTCCACCCATCGACGTGGGTGGTTCGAAGATGAGTCCAAAATTGCGCTTGAATGTGTCCATAATTGTCGAGAGTCTGATAATCATAATGAAGGCGAAATTTTCGACAATTTTGACCACACTCAGTCCCAATTCCAGACCATGTTGATGGGCGAAGCGAACATCGCCGCTTCTACTTTCTTGAACGATTTTCTCGCTTAATATTCACCTTTTGCAACAGGACTTGGGCGTTTTACTTGGACGGGGACCCCACGATTGCACCGTATCAAATTCTCGTCATCCTCATTCGAGGAGATGTTGCCTTTTAGAGATGTTCAGACTGACATAAGCAAGTATAAAATTACCTGACAGTCTCGTCGAAAGAACCTGAAGCGACCATGGTACACTGTGGATTATATGCGCAACAGAACACATAATTCGTATGTCCTTTCAGCGTCTTTATGCATTTTCCAGTCTCCACTTCCCAAATTCGCACCGTCTTGTCATCCGAAGCCGATGCAAGAAATAATGAGTTCGGACTCCATGCCACATCATTGATCCCAATCTTATGCCCATTCAAAGTCTGCATTGGCTTCCCATCCTTCACAAACCATACTCGAACTGTCGTGTCTGCAGATGCAGAAGCGAGGTACATCCCACAAGGAGAGAACTTCAGCGACGCTACAGATTTCTGATGACCATTCAGCGTCATGAGGAGGGAATAATTTGGTAATCCAGGTTGAGCTGGTGGTTGCTGCTGCATTGGGGTTGGAGCGACTTGTGCAGTTGGTTTCGAGATGTTTCCTTCCTGTGTGTTCGGTGGTGGCACTGCTCCAGCGGGTGCTTCTGGCCTTGTGGCTTCAGGTGCTCTTGGTTCAGTGTTGCCTGTATGCGCACTGTCTACTTCCATTTCCATAACCTAAACAAGGTCATGAATGGAGAAAACGACCAAAAGATAGTAAGCAAAAAAGGAGAAAGTAAACGGCCAACCTGGAAGATCCAGTTTTTGTGGTCGTAAGTGCTTCCTTATACTTTTTCGGTTTCTGACCTGAAAACCATGGCTATAAAACATCTGACAAAATATCTAAAAAATCAGCCAACGTAGAATATACTGGGTTAGATACCATTCACTTCGACAACATCATAAATAGCATTTTTATTCCGAGGTAGAAACAATCATAAATCATTTTAATTGCCAAAATAATCGTAAGTTCATTAACAACACGGAACTGTACAAATAAATATCACTGCATCTTTCTTTTCTTTGCTGCTGGCCTTTCGAACACTGGCCGGACACCAGCTGAAATAAATTCATCATGAGCAAGATAATGTGTTTGAAGTTTGTAGCAATCAGAAACTGACCCTTTTTGGGAAACAAGATCCAAAAACATTCAAGCTTGACAGAATAGGAGCACTCACCAGCTTTTTTATTGAAGAACTGTACATTAAGGTTATTAGCGCTAGCCCATACGCCTTGATGATCTGTAGTATCTTCGTTGGTAAGATGAGTATATTTCGTTCGTGAAGCTTTTCCGAAGTTTTTGACCTAGAAAAAATGAGTGCATACTAATTGCACTAAAAACATTGAAGTACTTGGAAGAAAACTGCCGAAACCTCTCACCTGCATGACTTTCGGGAGCACAGTTTTGTCAAACACATCATCTGCAGTGGCTTCGGCGAAGTTTCGCTTGTAAACTTCGTCCTCTTGATCCAAGAAGTAAGCACCACGATGGTAGTACTTTTGCAGGAACTTGTATTTGCCTTTGATTGCCTAGGCGAAAGATGTATCAGATGTGTTCCTATGGAAAACAACTGTTTTCCTACCTGGTTGGTGATGATTTTAGGATTCGCGCGCAAATATTTGATACGCTCTTCTTCACTCATATTATGGACGCGTTCATACTCGGCTTTTTCTTTAGCAGCCTGCTCACGTTCTTCTCTGAATTGAATTATTATAGTTGAGGCACATAGACGCTATGGAAGACATCGCTGATAATCTCAAGATAAAAATACCAGCACCGTAAATTTTTGAAAAATCTTTCTTCTGGGCCACCTTCGTATTTATATTCAAAATGGGATGTGCAGCAAAAATATGAGAAAGGAGGCTGTGAAAACGAAAAAGAAAATTGCAAAGCTTACAAATGAGGGAAAAGTGACGTACCTATTCCTCTTCAGTCTCTTCATTTCCCTCAGCTTCCACATCTCATACGCTACATTTTCGCTTTCGTCATCGGTCTGCACCGATTCCAGTTCAATATTCTCCTCCTTCTTTCGTTTCTCTCTTTCATCTTCTTCGCGTAAGACTTGTTGCACCAGCTATGGAATCACAGATGATAAGAGAAGGCTTTGAGCAACGAAAACAACGAACTCTAATGCTGTCTTTCTTCCTCTCTTCTTTCTTCCGTTCCTCTTCGCGTCTTTGTTGCTCTTGCTGTTGTTTTTCTTTCTCAGCTTCTATCAATGTAATGCGATCCTTCTTTCTAACGAAAACCTGAAAGAAACCAACCATATGCGAATTCTAACTCAATAAAAAAGACGGTTTTCGTTCGACATGCGAGGAATACTTACTGGTTTTAACCGCGGCAAAGTATCATCCTCTTCTTCTTCACTAGACTCTTCCTCGCTCTCCTCCTCATCCTCTTCTTCAAATTCCTCTTCTTCTTGCTTAATTTCTTCCTGAACAAAACAATTTTAGGTGATGAAAAGACACAACATCCACTTACCTTCAGTCTCATCTCTTCAAGCTCCCTCTGTTTGGCTTTTTCTCGAAGTATCCTTCTTCTTCGCTCAAACTCTTCTTCGTCACTGCCAACATCATCTTCTTCCTAGATAAAAAAATAAATTAGACAAATACAAAATCAAATCGTACGAGCAAACTCAAGTACTGCAACAAATAAGTAGCATACCTCTTGCTGCTGTTGCTGCTCTAGGTTGAGCCTTCTCAAACGCGCTCTTTGACGACGCTGCTCAACAGCTTCTGCATCTTCCTCTTCTTTCTCCTGCTTCAAAATCTAGAAAAAAGTCCGAACTTACAGAAAAGTCTATGGTATTAGGTTGTCCGGAAATTAATGCCCGTTTTGAATTTCAACCACAATAAGTCATACATTTCTCACTTCCAAATGGGTTGCAAAGTACCATTCGACAGAGCAAAGCAAGCTCTACAAGATGGCCATCTTGCTTTTGCAACAGCTCACATCTACCTCGAGTTTTGGGCCAAAAACTAAAAAGACTCAGCAGCCCGAAAAATCGAAAAAAATCGTAACTTACTTCATAAAAATCTTAAAAAATTCTTACCTGCTCACGTAAACACTATCCACATAAAACATCTATATACGCCTTCGCCGTATTTTTTTTCTCTGTTGGGAATGGAGAGAACGGATATTTTCGTGCATTTGCCAAAGTGGCGTTGTGCCGTTACCACATAGGTAGTTGTATACCACAAGCCTGTAGAAGTACAGACTTAAATTTTCAGCTTTCTACAAGCTTTAATTCTCGAGAAGTACCGAATATAGCTTTCCCTAGTTAGGTGGTCCGAGCTAAAATTCAAATTTCTCGAGAACTAATGCTTGTAGAGGGCTGAGAATTTACGTTTATACTTCTACAGGCTTGTGGTACACAACTATCTATGTGGTAACGGCACAACGCCACTTTGGCAAATACACGAAAATATCCGTTCTCTCGATTCCTAATAGAGGAAAAAATACGGTAAAGGCGTATATAGATGCTTTATCTGGATAGTGTTTACATGAGCAAATAAGAATTTTCTAGGATTTTTATGAAATGAGTTACGATTTTTTTCGATTTTCGGGCTGCTGAGTTTTTTTAGTTTTTGGCTCAAAACTCGAGGTGGATGAGAGCTGTTGCAAAAGCAAGATGGCCTTCTTGTAGAGCTTGCTTTGCTCTATCGAATGGTACTTTGCAGCCTATTTAGAAATGAGAAGTGCATGACTTATTGCGGTTGAAATTCAAAACGGGCATTAATTTCCGGACAACCTAATAGATCAAATGATCAAATCACCTCAGGTTCCTCAATAGGGCGACTGCTTCCTTCATCGCGATGACGATCGCGGTGCCTTTGTTCATGTTCATGATCATCCTCCCTCTCTCGCCTGTGTCTATCCTTAGGCCGTTCTTCTTTGTCGAATCTGTGTGAGGATAAAGCTGATTGTATAGGATGCACGTATTCTGCTTTTCGAAAAGAAGAAAATTGATAATCACCTGCTCTCACGTCGTTTTTTGTCATCTCGTTCCTCATCTGATTCTGAGCCGCCCTCCTTGGCATAATTAGGCCTAGAAAGTGATAGTAAAATAGAAATAAAAGAACAAAAGCGTAATTTCAAAACCGACAAAAAAGTCATTCACATGACAAAAAACAAAAAAAATGTGATTGTCTCACATTTTACCAGCGATATACCGCTGCACTTTGACTTTCTGCATAACCACTTGTCCTTTTTCATTTTTGACTGGAACAGCTCCCAAAGTGGGAAGACGCTGTGGACCATAACTGCGCTGATCACCTTCGCGCTGCTCAAAACGTGGTATATATTCCCCCATCCTGAAGAGTAAAAGTTATAAAGTAATTTGAAGAAACAATGAACAAGTAACAGATAAATCTTCCAGATTTTCTTTTCTGAAAAGATGATGTGGAAGAATGGTGCTTCAAACAATTTACTGACGCATAAAAAATGCTATATACAAAACATAATAGAATGAAAGGACTAGCAGTGTAGCGAGCAAAAAAAAAGGAAAAATCGATTGCACGACAACGAAGAAAAACACGGGAGACCACAAAGACTACTTGGTGTGAATTGATCTGCCCCTTCTTTTTTTGGTCTAGACTAACACAATGTAAAAGCAAACTTCGAAAAGAAAGAATAAAAAAGAGGTTAGAAGCGTCCATTCGAATGCATTTTGTCTGTCAAGTGGACGCTTGTTCACTACGATGCGGAGCCAACATTTGTGGTTTGGCGCTTCGTCAAAAAGTGCTTTTTTGAACGTTTCGAAAGTTCAATGAATTTTTCATGGCGTGTGAGAATGACTCGTGACGTTTTAAGTTTCTAGCTTAAGTGCGTGCATATCAATTGCTTTTTCATTGTTTCTCTTTTGCTTTTGCAATATATCGTCTATAGACAAATTTGTTGTAGGCACTGACTACAAAAATGATTGGATTTGTCATTTCTGCGCTTCTTGAATGAACTATATAATATCTTGAAGCTTTTCCTATCTTTCTTAGCCGCCGAAGGTTATGGGAACCATGTTAACCGCACTCTTTTTTGGTTATATATTGGCTCAAAAGTCGTGCATGCATTTTCATACTTTTTTGTTCGGTATATGGAATCAATGTTTTTTGACATTTCTAGTCATGTTCGTCGATGAAAAGGTCATTGCAAAATCAGTTCATATTGCTCCATCTTCTTCTTGCTTATCCATGCTTATCCCTTTAGTCAATCGAAGTGTGTTTTTTCGTGGCTAAAATAGGCCCCGGACAGACTTCACGCGATTTGATCGTCGCGACTGAATCGCGAGGAGATAACTGTTACAGCATCATTCCATGCCGATCAACTTGCATTCGGTTGTGATACTTTTCCAGCCCCAAATTTTTGAATGTGAAATGAAAATGAATGGAAATGTCGGCGATTGAGTCGCGACGATCAAATCGCGTGAAGTCTGTCCGGGGCCATAGGAAGCTTCCTCAGTTCTTGCAAGCTTTAATCTGACATGGTGCTTTAGTCAGAACAAATCGTAAGAAGAGGGTATAACTTTTCTCCAGTAGCGATTTTTGTCCAGTTCATTAGACTTCATTTTATTTTATCATCTAAATTGGTCTTTTGTGATTAGTAACTTCAAATTTGTGATCATATCCGTGCTCTCAGATGTTTCGGAAACCTACAAAAAAGGCTGCTTTTCGCAAGAGGACAGGTAGCACTGATGATAAGGAAGACTCTGGAACAGCGGAAGCGTCGCCAAGCGCATCACGAAAGGAAGCAGCTTCGTCGAAGTCCAACGAAGACGATGCCGTAGATTCGCCGGTACCAAAACCACCAGCTCTTCTTAGTTTTGACAACGATGAAGGTGGCGATACAGCATTAGCCCATTAGATACCTTGTGGAATTCAGTTTTACTCTAAAAATTCTATAAAACACTAATTTTTCTTCTTACAAAGCTTATTTTGTAAAAAATGAACATTGTTGTTTAGGAGCTGATGCGGACTTTGTTTTGAAGAAAAATAAGAAGAAAGTGAAAGAACTCAAGAAGCTGGCGAAGCTGGAAGAAGAGGCGGAACTCGAGCGACAACGCGAAGAGGATGAACGAAGAGAACGTGAACGAAAGGAAAGGGAAAAGAGGAAGAAGGAAAAAGAAAAGCATAAACAGAAGGATACAAGGGACTCAAGAAGTCGGTACCTGGACAAGTATCGTGATTGTTCGAGCAAAGTGAGTTTTAGAAGTCTTTGTGCGCTGATAACTGTCATTTCTTCCTTTTTCATGATAGACTTGAATTGTTTAGTAAAACGTAACTCGATAACGCTTGATTTTCTTCCGTTACCAATGCATCATGATTTGTTATTTATGTATCTAGCCATGTAATCAGAAATTAAGCTTTTTCGATAACGAAACAAGCTTATTATTGTCCCGACCAACACTGCAATAAAGACGCTTGTATTAAGGAATTTACATCAATCTTTCCAGGTCAAACCACCCCTTCCTGATAGCGACGATGAAGTTGATGAGGCGCATTCTAAATTTCCAGGAACAATGTGTAAGTCTTGCACGTTTTGAGTTCGAGAAAATCGCGCATACTTACAACATTTTAGCAGCTATCCCTGATTCTCGAGCTGTATATGAGGCGAAGAAACGTCGTGAGCGTTTGAGAAGAGAGGGAGCGGATGGGTAAGTTTCTTTACACATGCTTTTGTTTATAAAAACCCTTATCTAATTGAAGTATGATCCCGCTGGATGATGATCAAAAACTGGTCGAGAAAGGTGTGCGGTCACGGCTAATACGAGAAGATGAAAACGATGATTCTGACGAGGAAGCACCAAAGTATGTTCACGTCTCCCTTTACTTAAGTTTTCACACGATGTTATTTGCTTTTATAGATTCTATTCGTCGAAAGATCTGCTAAGAGTGGAAGAAGAACGTCGTCGAGAAGAGCAGGATCATTTCTTGGAACAGGAGCAGGGCGATGAAAGAGATGTCGATGATGAGGCTGATGAGTGGGAGAAGCAGCAAATTCTCAAAGCTGTTGGGAGACACACGGTAACTCTAGAGTCCTATACTTCGAGCGCGAACTGAGTTTCATTTTCATAATTTTTTTTTAGATTGGGCAAATACGAGCTGATTATGACAATTCTACGAAAATGTATCGCCAGAGGATGCAGGAGCTAGCGGTATCCTTTCTTAACCTTCAGTTGTTTTCTCATTACCAAAGCATGTCTATGACCCTTTCGTGCTCTAGATTCCTGAAGCTACTGACATGGATATCGATATGGACGGTATTGTAGAGAGCTTCAATCGAAAAAGTATCGGTCAGTTTTTTTTCACAAATTTTCTTGCTCAATTTTCTCGCCTAACTTACAAATCGTCTGTTTCAGGTCCAACGAATACGGGTGGTACTGTAACTGTGGATGACATATTAGCGAAGCTGAAGTCGTAGTGAGTATAAATGTCTTTATTAGAATGGGGGTCTGTTTGAGGTATTCTATGTTATAAAACCTACATTTACAGTGTTGTTGATCGCGAAGAAAGGCTGAATGCAAGGAGGTATGAAGTAACGAAAATTGAACAATCTATTGAAGAGAATAAGGAAACAATGAAAAAGGTATGATTTACTTCCTGTCAACATCGCTTCCTAGTAAGTCAATGAATAAAACTATTATTTCAAGATTGAAAATGATATGCCCGCCTTGGCAAACAAGTATACGATGTACCAGGAACTACGTCTTTACTCGAGGAGTCTTTTGGAGTGCCTCAATGAAAAGGTTTCTATTTTTTAGGCATCTGTTTATTGCAGATCAATTCGGATATTTTAGGTCGCTGAAATAAACGAACTCGGCGACAAACGCCAAAATCTAGCAAAGGCAAAAATGGAACGATTGGCCAGACGTCGTAGACGAGATATACGTGATGCTTATAATGACTGCGTTTCCGCTGCAGCGGGCAAGAATCCTTCATTGTTGAGAACCCCGGATGTAATGATACGAGTGGCTGAGAGGGATGCGAGGCGGTTGGTAATAGATTCCATTATTCTTTTTATCTTATTTTTGTGTTGTTTTTTCCATTTACTCTCTGTATCCCAGCTCTTGCCATTTCATAATGGTTTTCTCTTACTTTTCCTCTCTGTGGCTAGTCTAGTAGAGTACAGCAGCTACTAGTTCAGTACTGTAAGAGTTGTTCGTATATGTTGTGAGCGTTTCTTTCCGTATCAGAGCGAGAAGGCGTAGAGAACGAGAAGGTACTCTTACTGGCATTTCGCACGAGGAAGGACTTAGCAGCGATGATGACGAACCAACTAGCCAGCAACTTGCTGACCAGGAAGCAGCAAGTGAGTTACAACCAGTTTTTTTGTTCAATATTGCATCAGATGATCAACAATAATGAAGATTATGTATTCTGTTCGATCCTATGGCAAAAATATGTGCATCGTTTATAATATACGTATTCAGCTGAGATTGATACGGCACTTCGTATGGTATTTGTCGACGCCCTAGATGATTATGCTCGCTTAAGGAAAGTGCTAGACAGGTAAATAATCATGGTTTAGGCTATGCTTCGTATAAGCCAATATCATTCCTTTAGAATGATTGATTGGTTCGCTGTTGATGGGACAACGTTTCAAGATGCTTATGTGCAGCTATGTATCCCAAAATTGGCTTCACCGTATGTGCGAATACAACTCATCACGGCAGATATTCTGAATGTAAGCGTTTCTTCATAAACGAATGTTTTTATTGAATTTACGAGTTTTGCAAGAGTCCCGTTTTGCATATTTATGAAACAGTTTTGATTACTTCAGTGTTCATTTCTGTGTTTGCCTTGTTTCTCCTCTAACTTTTGCTTTGACTTTTGCTTTCAATGAAATGATGATGATGATAAAGCGAAATGGAATGCTTTTAGCGGGACGACTTCCTTCTTTCTTCCATGCCGTGGTACATAGACTGTGTGCAAGCGGCTGAGGCTAACACCGATGTCGATCCGAAGCACGAAATCATCACCGGACTTATACCATCAATAATTGAGAAGGTAGTGCTTCCCTTCCTAACAGGTTAGTTAGGCCACTGTTTCGCGGAGCTTCCAGTTCTGGATTTTTTTTTACATTGTTGTTGCCTGTTTCAGATGTCGTGACTTTCGAATGGGAACCTATGTCACTGAAACAGTCGAAACGGTTAGGAGCAGTGCTTAGTGGACTGTCCGATTACCCTAAGCTCAATGTTGAGGATAGCAAAGCGTTTGCAGCTTTGGCAATTGCTGTAAAAACAAAAATCAGTCAAGCTATAGATGATGATCTGTTCGTACCGATATATTCGAAACAGTGAGTGTTTTGTGTTTGTCTTTTGTTCGTTTTTGTACTGCCATGTTTTTAGATCTATAAAAAATCCATCGACTGGGTGTGCCGCTTTTCTCGATCGGCAGTATTGGGCGGCGATTAAGGTGGGGGGCTACATGCTATTTTCGTGTTTTTATTTACTTCCCGCATTATATTTTTTTGCTGAATGATGCTGTTTGTTTCCGAGAAAACTTATCTTGCGAGTTGCTATCTTATCAGGTCCCATTCTCTTGCTGGAAATTTGAGCCATGTTCGAGCTTCTGTAGTGTTTTTGATACTTCCGCATTTATGCCTCGAATTCTTATGGGACCTTCATACTTCGCCGAAAATAAAGCCCAAGAGACCCAGAAAGAGCCGAAACGCCCTCCTTTGGGCGCAAGTTTGGCGCTAACGGATGTGTGTTGTTTTCGCAACTGAGTCATTTTGTTTCATTTTCTGTCGTCTGCACATCAAAATAATGTCAGCCTACTAAAAGTTGCAGGATCGTTTCGGCTGTTTCTGGCGCTTTTGGGCTATTTTAAGCTCTTTTTAGGCTTTGTTTGGCGAAGTATGACGAGCCCCTATCTCATTCTCTTGCATCTGTACACGTGCCCAGAACCGTTCTAGCTGTATGGTTCTGATTTCTGTTCAAGTGCTTTTGAACTGATGACAAAATTAGTCTGCTGCACGATTTATGAGCGAATTGCAAACAGAATTTTCAGGAAACAAACATTTCGTTTACTAACTTGATTAAGCGTTTGTTGTATGTAACTTGAGCAATTTCGCACTGAATCTAGGATCATTGCTTACCTACTCTCCTTTTGAAGTACTAGACTATCCGTCATTCCATATTTTCAGTTGCTCCGAGGGCTAAAATCGTTTTCATCGTTCCTCAATCCTGCAACGCGACTGGAACTGGTATTAGACGGTGTCGTTAATCGGGTATGTGTTGTAGCATTAGAGACTGGTCTACTCGATGATGCATCATGCGAAAGAAAGGTTGGTGCACTTTGTATCATTGTTTTTGTGGTCGAACATTGATGTTTCTGATTTTATCTTGATTTTCTGACCATGTATTGACTATGATGTGTCCTCTAGGTTCGTGCTCTTCTTGGTGAAATCCCTGAAGAAATGATTGCAACTGCGAAACCTGATTCTTTCCGTAATCTCATACGCTGTCTAGGACGAGTAGTAGATGAACAGAAGGCAGCGGGAAGGTAGGATTATTTTTTTTTGTTCTTGGTGTGATGATTTCTATTTTTTGAGTTTTGTGAAGATTTCTATTTTTTCCAACTTTTTATGTGTCACTGTTGTCTCTCTGATATTTGTTATTGTAGGAGTTACTATAGAGATGTGCGAAAATATCTGGAAAAACTACAAGCAAAGGAAAAGAAGGCTTCCGAGTGATACAGCTGTTATATATACGCACCGTTAAAATAACTAATAAATTATTAAACCTCATGTCAGTAGTCTTGGTCGCAAAGTTTACACTCTTCAGTATTTGTCGTTTGGTCTTTTCCATTTGTCGGCTAAATTTAGATTAATATTTAGATTTCTGCCTCAGAATGTCGTGGCAACGTATGAGTGTAGTAGTCGACCGCTATGAACGTCTAGCCACTGGTCAGCTGCGGGATTTGCGTAAACTACAGCGAATGGCCATGAATCGAAACACGGATTCCGCATCTATAAGAGACCAAGTGACTTTTTTTACTTTGTCGAATGCTTTCTTTAACTCGTTATATTTTTCTCAGGATTCTTTTTGCTCTTGTAAATTGATCAAGTAATTTAGATTGACCGAATAGGTCAAAATTTACAATCAAGTCTTACTCAACTACTGGGTGAACGTGAAAATCTTGATGCTGACGGAAGGGAACAGTTTGATACACGCGTTGATTCTATACGGTGAGCAGGAGGTAATTAATTGGTTTCCTTATACGGTCTACATTTGTAGGAAACAGATCCAAGCTGCCATACAAGCAACGGCATCATTACCTCCACTAGAGTCCAAGAATCCGTTTGAAGAGCCAAGTGAAGATGAGTCAAATCCATATGAATTGGAGGGAAGAAGGTAGCTTACTGAACATTCTATTGCTTGCTTCCTTTACGATCACCATTGGATTACATTTCGAGTTTTTTTTTGTTGCTCTTTTTGCTTTTGCTTACTTACTCTATCCCCATGTGTGTTTTGTAAAAATTATCTTTGCATTATGGCTGTCCCAATATCTGATACTGTTTACAGATACATGCAAGAAACAGACTCACGAGCTCTTGAGTTGAAAGCAAAAGCAGAAGAGGCGAAAATGATGGCTGATGCGACAGCCAAATTGAATAAGGTGAGAACAAAACGCCCCTCATCACTACAGAATTGCGTGAAGATTCGCGTGTTTCTAGGACATGAGAGACCTAGAGGAGATATTCGCAGAGCTGGCAACTATAGTACACGAACAACATGAAGTTGTTGACTCTATTGAGGTGACCATATCGTGTATTGTTGCTTAATGAAGTTTTCGCTACTGATCGTCCTTTCTGCTCCTTTCTTTCGTGCTTGGTGAAATTGCACGACTTGATTCTTATTTGCGAGCAAGAACATAGAGTTATTATATGTGTGATCCTTTTTTGTATAGTTTTAGATAACGGAATTACTCTATACAAATTTACAAACTTATTTCTCTACAAAACTTTCTTTCCTCCCTCATTTTTGCTTTCACGGTGCTGTAATGTTTTAGGAGAATGTTGAAAGAGCCACACATGAAGTAAAACACGGTAGCGAACAACTGAAAAAGGCTGTGAGAAGTAAGACCAATCGTGTAAGTGGAGAACTTTGATTTCCCAAGTCTGATAATGTGAACAGAGGACTTCAGACGACTGTCACGGCAGCTGTAGTGGGCGGTGTTGCTGTCGGAGGACCAGTAGGGTTGGCGGCGGGATCAGCTGTAGCTGGCGTTGCAGCTGGAGTGGCGGGTTTGGTCGCAGGTTAGTAGATGCAAGTAAAACTAGGGTTTCGTAGTTTAGAATGATATTTTTCAGGACTTTACAGCGGAAAATGGTTCAAAAACGCGGTAAGAAAAGATTGTGATATCAACAATTAGCCATGATATGCCGATCTCTTGTGATCTGCCCGGTTCCTTGATATCTAATCATGCACATTGTCACTTGTCCAAAATCTTGCTGTACAGCTTGTATTATCTGTATGAATGATGGAGCTTTACATTGTATATGTGAAGGTTTCAATTCACTCCTGATGACTTTGCCATTCCAGTCATGAACATATCATTTGTGCAACATTTTCTTATAGAGAACGGATTTTTTTGAATTTTTCAAATTGCATGTTTATAAATGCTCTTGCATAGGATGCGTAACTTTACAAGTTCTAGTCTTTCCATTTGATGCTGTACAGAAGTTTTATGTTGTGATTTTGAATAAAAAGCTTGAACTTGCGCACGACTGTACTTCGTTTATGTGTCGCCTACACAAGAAATACTTGTATATAAGGTCGATTTCATAAGAGAGGGGAATTGGAATGCGTAAGCGCTTGGACTGCAAGTTCAAAGGCAGCGGCTCGGCAGAATAGACTTACCTCAGATTTGGACACAGATGGATAGGAGGCCCTCCAAGTGAACCAAAACAGCAACTCCGCGCCGAAAATATGAACTCTGCAAGCCAGGGGGGCGGCCCAAGCGCCGCTCCCCTTCCTCCTTTCGGTCCCCTAACACCTTGTTCTATTCTCCGCTAGACGGCGCGGGACCCCCCAACCGCTTCCCGCATTGTGCATGCTATACAAAGCCAAAATTACAGACAGCAGGGTCTCCGTACCAGGGCCTCCCGACTTTCCTTTTTAAAATTCTCGTCCGAGCTGCCTTTTGGAAATTGGAAAAAAAACGCTCCGAAAAAGGCCTTTTCACCCCTTCTAAAGCTCAGATTCAGGATCTACGGGTCGAGAAGGCCCAAAGCATGCAAAAAGATGGAAATGCAAAATCTGCCGAGCCGCTGCCTTTAAGGCCGTCAGTACCGCTAGTGGTTCACTTTTTTTTTACAGATTACCTCAAATGGCGGTCCTTGTAGAGACCACCCTAGGGGACATTGTGATTGATCTATATGTAAAGGAACGTCCGAAATGTAAGTAGACCTTAGTCTTCCGAACTGACTTCAAGTTGGGATTTGCAGGCTCACTCAACTTTCTAAAACTGTGTAAAATGAAATACTACAATCTCTGCCAGTTTCACACAATTGAGGTTTGTCTTGCTTGCACATTATTTTTGTTTTTGCAAATACGTAGTGGATCTCGTTGACATGCTGCAAGTTTCAGCAGAACTATGTCGCGCAGACTGGTGATCCAACCGGAACAGGGCGGGGAGGAGAGTCCATATTTCAGTAAGTAAAAATTCGACCCGTTGTAAAATTTGCACTTTTCGTGTAGGCTACATATTTTTCCATCGTTTTCCATTGATGAACTTTTCTTTACATCTTTTATTTGTCATTAAGAACTCTATATGGAGAGCAAGCCCGATATTTTGAGAAGGAAGATCTTCCAAAGATGAAACACACCCGATTAGGTTCGTAATGACATCGCTTACTTTTTTTTCTCGAACTCTCAAGTCAAAGTAAAACTATTGTTGTGGAATACTTTTTTGCTTTAGGTGTTGTTTCATTTGTCAACAATGGTAACAATATGTTGGGCAGCCAGTTTTTCATCACTTTGGGAGAGGCGTGAGTTTTTTGAGTTTATAGAGACAGTCTATACATTACATATCACTTATTACTTTTACTATTTTCATTCTGTTCTCCTGCTCAGATTACTCTTTGCACTTTCAGCTTGGACTACCTCGATGATAAGCACACCATTTTTGGGCAAGTAACAGAAGGTATAGAAACATTGGAAAAACTGAACGAACAGCTATGTGATGAAGACCACAGGCCATACAAAGATGTCCGGTAAGTCGAATGAGCCTTTTTGTTGTAGTACGACTGACTTTTTTGCAGAATAGCGCACACCATTGTACTCGATGATCCCTTTGAAGATCCCAAGAGGATAAGGTATCCATCGAGATCACCTTCACCAACATTTGAAATGCTCGTCAAGGTGAAACTTGAAGATTTTCTGATTTTACTGCTTCTGAAGTTTGTTAATTAAGACAAATCAAATTGCATTGGACGAAGATGTTGATGACACGCAAGGAAAGACTGCTGAAGAATTAGCGGAAGAGATAAAGAAAAGAGAGATGGCAGAGCAAGCCCAGATTTTGGAGATGGTAAGTTCAAATCTGTTGAATTCCATAACCTTTTATCTCTTCATTTCAGGTTGGCGATCTGCGAAGCGCCGATGAAGCACCACCTGAGAATGTTCTTTTCGTATGCAAATTGAATCCAGTAACAACTGATGAAGACTTAGAAATCATTTTTAGTCGTTTTGGGAAGATCATCAAGTGCGAAGTGAGTCTTTTAGCTGAAACACTCTTGGGAACAGCAAAACAATTTCCTTACTTTTAGGTCATAAGAGATCGACGTACACATCAGTCTCTGCAGTATGCTTTTATCGAGTTTGATGATGTAAGTTTTCTGTGTGAACTGTTCGCTGTTCTGTCATGTTAAGCAAAGAAAACAGTCGACAATTGCAGTTTTTTGATATCTACTCCTCAAATCCACCCATTTTCAGCCCAAAAGTTGCGAGCAAGCCTTCTTCAAAATGGATAATGTATTGATCGATGATAGACGTATTCATGTTGATTTCTCGCAGTCAGTCGCGAAACTTCATCGAAAGTACAGAGGTAAGTCTTTCGAAAAGTTGTTCTTTCGGTTCAAAATATGTTCTGCACCCTTTCAGAAGGAAAAGAGGCAACTAAAGCTGAGATTAGGGAGGAGATTGAAAATGAGGACCGTAAGGTGAGCCATATTAGTGACTTCAAACGAGATATGTCTTAGTTTAGAATTTCTTTCAGCCCTATCGATCTCCAAAAAGAGAGCATTTTTCGCCCAAAAGGAATGGTGATGATGAACGCCGTAAAAGAAGATCCCCTGAACGCAGAAAAGAACGAAGTCCAGAAAGGAGAAGACGAGAAAGATCGAGATCAAATGAGGATGATTTACCGCAGAAGTTCCGAAGGAGAAGCCCCGAAAAGTCCAGCCGAAGGAGATCGAGGAGCAAAGAAGCGCCGAGGAAAGATCGGTCAAGGAGTAGGGAACGGATAAAAGAGAAGCCAAGAAGAGACCGATCAGATAGCCGAGACAAACGACGACGAAGCAGAGAGCGAAGGTCGAGCAGTACGGAGAGGAAGAAAGAGCGTTCGCGAGCACATGACAGATCACGATCGCCAAGCAGAAAAAAGTATCGTAAGTAGCGAATTTTTGTATTACGTTTTATACCTCATGTCGCGGTGTCGAGCCTCAGTACTGGTCTCTGTTGATTTATTTGTGAATACATGATTCTTCTTCAGTTCTTTGACAATTTTGGCAAAACCTTTGTGATTTAACGGCACACATACGTAATTGCGAGATGTCCACGGTTCATCTTTGGTTCAAGGTATTGTCCACTGAATCCAGGTGATGGTGCGGTTAGCGGGATGACGGTAACGATAGCGGGATCACTAATTGCATGCCCAAATCTCACTGCAAAACGTGGCTTGCAAAGGTAATTTGCTTCAGGTGGAATGTAACCGAGGTCGACACGCCCACCAACGTTGGTAGTCTGAATACTGAGCAAAGAACTGCTCCAGAATACAAGAGAAGCGGAAAATATTCTGCTCATGGTAATTAGATGTCGACACTTGAACACTCTGGAACCCACCTTTGGGCTCTATACAGTATGCTACGTTAATGGGCGTGTCGACCCCTTCCGCATGAACTTCTTGAGCCGATTTTAAAGCTTCGAACTTGGCCTTTTGCCGTGGGATTGCGGCCATTACTCAGTGATCCCGCCATCCTACCGTTAAAGAATCTCCCAGCCTCCCTCGGATTGCACAATGCCTTTGAGACTTTCAGAAGGTGCTGTTTTAAGAATATCGACAATCCGCAGTAAAGAATCGCAGCTAATTTGCATCTTGTGAAAATCATTCATCGAGGTTTTAGTCTTTTTTTGGCAAGATCAAGTGATAGAAAATCGCATTTGGAAATTTATGCTATGTACAGTAATCACAATAGTTGACCCTTTGCATGTATTATGTCAAGATCTTCACAGGTATCCCAATCAGAAATCTGAAATATACACCAATGAACTTGGAATCATTGAATTATGACCAACGTACCAGTTCGTGATCGTTGACATTTACCCGTGGTGACGTTTCGTTGATTTCAAATCGATGGTTGGGTGCTATTATGATGGGTTGAGGCTGAAAAGTAAAGAATTATTTTGGGGATTTGAAATGTAATTGCTGCTAACCTTGGGTATGGTCACACCCTCCATGATAAACCGGGCTTGTTCGATTATGTTAGAATGCGGGCAGTTGAAATGAAGACTTTCTGGAGGCATGCCAAGATAAAGACCAAAAGCTAGTACAGATTGGCAGAATTTGAACCTGAATCTATGTGCTAGAGGTGGGAGATGTAACAAACTATAGAAACAAACCAATCGTTATCTAAAAGCTCTCGACTCCAACGTTCCCGTAATGAGATTTCATGGTGAGATATCTGAAAAAGGGTTAAGCTCAATTGTTTGCTGATAAATACAGGAGATTTTTTGTTAAGAGTTTTAGAAAATGCACTTACTGTGTACGGTAACCGATAATCGAAAATTGATGCGAGATTATTGACAAGTTGAATGGAATGTAGTAAAGCTGCAAAAGGCGATCGTAGATCAAGTGAAAGATTGAGTACGGAATCCGATAGCGCTAATCCTAGTCGTTCTCGTGACGCATCCGACAGATAGGTATCGCGTACCTGAATAGTGAGTGTTGGTATCACTGTATGGCGCTATCGAGCCATGTAACAAGGAAATAACGAAGAAAGGAAGAAGTGGTGATGTTGTAGTCCGTGTCCAAAGTTTATTCCCCACAAAAGACGCTTCGACGCAGTTCACTCGCTGCCTTTGAGTCATTGGAAGAGAAAAGATTGAATACTTTTAGAAAAGGCGAGCTAAAGAGAGTGTAATGGAATGTGCAGTAGCGGTTTACGTAGACGCCCTACTTCTCCACCACATCCACTTCATTATTAGTCAAAAAAGAATTGAGCAATAGGGAAGCGGCTGTTTCACTTGATCCGCTTGATTCGGTTGATCCATTGCGCCACTGGTTAGTTTGTTGTTTTGACCAATAGCGAAGTGGATGAAGAGGATCAAGTATGGCGCAAGTCTATGAGGAATATTGCAGCAGAAGGCAGACTATGCATTGCATCATGCTACATAATGGAAGAATTTATGTAAAAGTTCTGCGAGATACCAGAGATTTACTCTACATCGTTTCTCGTTATCTCATGAGTAAATCAAAGGTGAATGTGCAGAAAAACAGGAAAGACGATCACTCTATATACATCGAATATTGTATAGTGTTGTTCTGCCAACCAGGTTTTTGGTGGATCTTTTTTGTTGACCTTACGTTTGGACAAATACCGTCTTCTTCGAAGGTCTCTAGTCCACCATGGAGTCAGTAGTCCGCACGAATGTGACGGACATCACTGTGATCCACCACAAAACCTGGTTGGCAGAACAACACTATACAATATTCGATACATCATGTCCAAGTTTAAAGAAGAGAGCACGTGGAAATCTATATACATCTAAAAGAAAATAAATAAATGCAAAAACAATGGACTGAATAGAGAAGGAAGCAACGTGGCTTGCCTTGATCATAGGTCCTTCCTCAATTTGATGACCGCTCACAACCATCCATTTTCTTAAACAATAACGAATGTATCTATGAACCAAACCGCATTCAAACAGATCCTTACCCTTTTGAATTGACTGCGCTGCGTTTAGACCCGTTATCAGAATGAACAGTTTGCGCAATAACTTCAGACACCGGGAAAATAGTATACAAAGACCCACACAAAGCTTTTCGGACGAGCGATAGCTGAAAATAACTTTCAGGTTCAAAATAAAAGCTTCAAGAAAAAAAATGCTTACGTTCCGACTCATCTCGTCAACTTTGCCTTCTTTATAGGCTCTACGTTTATGCATATGAGCTTCATTTGCGTCGTGCTTATCATAATAGGACTGAAAAAATCTATTCTTTCAACGGTCATACCTACAACTGACTAATAGAAGCACTCACCAAAACTTTATTTGCATGCTTACTCGTGCTGACTATGAGCTGTTTGACAACACCTAGTTGTTCTGATTTCATCTTGTTTATTTGCTTCTTATCTTCTACCCATTTTCTTAGTAGAGTGATATTGGCAGTGGTTGTATTGATTTTGGCACTCAGGCTAGACTGAAACAAAGCTTTCGTAATATGAAAGAGCAAAAACAAGTGCAAAAAAGAAAATCATCAAAATAAAGAAAAAAATTCATATTCATCTATGAATATCAGTGCGAGATTACGAAAAACGAGTCAGGGCGGGGTCGAGTATCTGTATTATGAATTTTTCATTACATAAACATCACATCAGCACTGCACCTTACTTTAATCCAACATTTGTAAAAAAAAGCTTAGGAGGACCGTGACCATCACACCATTAAACCAAACATTTGTCAACAATGCTCGAAATGCACGTTTTTCATTATCAAAACGGATCGAAGTCAAAACAAAAGCGCAGATGGTGACGTACTCTTCAAGGTACGGAGTCACTTCAGTCGTGACTGTAGTAGTATGTGAAAGACCAGAAAAAAGACAGATATATGAACAAATAGAAATCGGGAGAAAATATCTAATAATGACAGGAAAAAGGTATAAACTATGTGAAATAAAGTAAGACAAAGAGTGAAGTAATTATACTGTAAATGACTCACAATTTCTCCCAGAAGCGCCTCGACTTCTTTCTCCAATTCGAGTTTTCTATTTGTTCGCATCGATATATTTTCTTTACGTGAGTAGAACTTCACTGTAACGTGAATGTTTTTGCTTTTGACGGAGATAACACTATGGTGATAACGAGCACAGAAAACAACTGACATTTTTCTAGAGTACATTTCTTGCAGAAACACTGATTCTTCTTCGTGCAACATAGACAAACTAATCGTTCACCCGTCATTCTGAAAGTAAATAGAAACAGAGATAAAGAAGTTGAGAACATTTGCATGGGCGACAATATGCATATGTCGCAAGATAAAAATAGGAAGACTGTAAATCTGTCGATATTATAGTAGAGAAAGCAAAAATGACCCGATACATCATCGAAAATGAAAGAGCGTGGTGTTCATAAGATGAGTGTTTGCAAACGGGTATCGTTACGCTTTTCGCGGCGACTTCGCAATGTGTGCGCCTAATTTACGAAAGATGCCTCGATGTCTAGATGTCTAGACTCTAGACCACCCCTTATGCAGCTTCGACCGATGGAATAGAGCTTGTAATTTCCTCCAATAAACGAGAAAATCAAAGGAAAAACATTCAAATGATGTGTAAGACGTACGTCCACGTCGATTTATGACGTTGATATGCATCCAACTTAGTGACAACACCAGGCGGAGTATGTGGAAGGTCTCGTGGAGAACATAAGCCTTCTGAGGGATGCGCTAAACTGTGACACAGTCAATATTACACAATAGTAGGCAATCAGAAGGAAGCAGTACTGCATGGAATTGATCACGACAAGGAAAAAGCTGCGTTTGCAGCTGGTGATTCAGCATGCTATTTTTTATAATCTTAGAGTTTAGCGGTGATTGCATCAGATTTGCTTTAAGAATAGACACAGTGATGGAGATGAAAAAACCCAAAGACCTGAAGAATTTTGTTTTCGCCTCAATTCGCACACTTCGAATCTGCTTTTAGACTATGCATTTTGTGCTAAACAACTTGTGGTAAATTTCAGATTTTTAAATTTGATGGAGCTGCAAGCATGCATGCCCAACAAAAAAAATACTTGTGTCGGCAAAAAATTTCATCTCAAGTTGAGAGAAAACATTTCAATCTCAACAGATCTTGGAGATCTTGATTTATTCCTTCTTTTCCCCTGAAAAAACGTGCATGTCTAGCAAGATCACAAATCGTGCAATTGCACTAAGTCCCTCGTATATTATCTGCAACTATAAAACTTTGTTTGTCTAGCAACTGCTCATAGTCTAGTAGAACTGACAATTGATAGAGTGCCTCGACAGTGCTCAGATCATCGCCCACATATAATCGTCCCGGATCTATTAGACTACATGTATAAAGTTGTGAAGAGATGAGCGTTTTCACATGAAAATGGGGAGCACATCCTTTGCTTTGCAGTTTTGAACATACTAAAAGAAAGCCGATAGATGGAGTTGGTGTAAAAACCGCTGCTTCTGCCTTTAGTGTAAGACTGAATCATAGAGGACGATGGGACAATCACGACAACTGTAAAAAAATGGTGTTGTTTTCGTTCGTACAATAAACGAAAATCCCGATTCTGCACATACAAAAGGCACTTGAAAACTGACTGATGCAAACCCAATAATTCAGAATCAGCAAATATGTTTGAACAAACGACGATGAAATGTTGAAATAGCATGCTGATAACCATTGGAAATCACCAATGTTGCCGAAAAAATGATGGCAGCGCATGTGGCGATTCAATTTAGAGCGCGTCAGCACTTCGAACATTATATATCATTTCATAACGAAATCAGAACAATGTTCGATTATCAAATAAAGAAATTAGAAATGGAAAGTGCATACCTGATGAACTGCAGCCAATCGATATGGGCCGAGTGCGATTGCTAAGCAGAACACGGTCTCCTAGCATTAATATGGGGGGTTTAATTCTGAAATCATAGAGGATTAGTAGATCAAGAGGTTCTGAGAAGTTCTCGATGAAAATTGCGAGGAAAAAAAGCGCAGATGGAAAGCTGCGTAGTCTTCAAGAGAACAACAAATCAAAGCTACTTTGGCTAGAAAGTAGCCTAGAAACTTCAAATAACCAATATTTTAGTTGTATTCATTCCAGAAACACATGGATAAACGCTATATGATGACTCGACAAAGTTCATGTGACAGTCTGCACCAGACAGGAACCCGAGCTGTCTGCATTCAAAAACAGCTGACAAATTGCACGTGATATAGAGAGTTCCGTGATGCACGTACGTAAAAATACACGAGGATTTTTGAAAAATACCGATTTTGATCTTAAGTGGATGAATTTTTCGCCTTAGAATACCTTTGATTTGATGTAATTTGCCGAATTGCTGGTTATAATTCCAATACGTTTGGATTTTGTAATTTCAAAAGTAAAGTAAGATTAAGTAGGTTCTAGAGTAGATCATTCTCAAAAGTGGATTTTAAAAATAAAAGTAAAGTAAGGTAAAGTAATTAAATAATTAATTAATTAAGTAAAGTAAAGAATTTAATGATTTGGGGAAAATGCTGATCTCCTTTTCATTTTTTTCTCACAAATGTGCAGTAAAAAGTGGAAACTTTCATAACCGTGCTTTATGTAAGTGAATGCTCAAATAAATATCCTATAAATAGACACTATTCTATAGCATAGTGCATCTATTTATGGAATATATGCACTGTATAAGCATTTCACAAGTTTTGCACTATAAAGTGTTTGTTTGGTTTCCATTCTGGTCAATTAGAAATTTCAAACTTTGACTTTTGTTCTCAATGTGCGCTGAACAATCAATTGAATCTTTTTCAATTAAAAGCCTTCATATTAGAGACTGGGGAAGTTGTAGAAAGTGTGCTAAACTTCAAAGAGAAAAGAAAGCAACAAAACATAGTGAAGAATTGCGTGAAGGACAATGCTGGTGTCTGCTGCGGTTTTTCCGCTTTTCAGCCGCTTTCTTATCATGTGAGTTTATGACAGCCATCAATCGTTTCCGATAAGATTTGATTTGGAGCAGCTCAGAAAACAATCAGTATTTTCTAAGAATGATTTAACTCTTTGAAAGTTATAGTTATGATTGAATTGTAATTAGTTTTGAATTGTATATTTTAAATTTAGTTTTAGTTTTTTTTTTATAGTTTTCAGTTTCGAGATGCACTGTTCATTTTGTTTGGAATTTGTTCACATTGTTTTTGAGTTCTTGTTCAAAGTTTAATTCTTTTATGAGTCGCTTGACACACCTCCATCATTTTTCAACATATTTTTTCGAACTCTGATAATAATCTCATGATAGGACTCTTTATGGAATATTTAGATTTCGTTCAAGTATAAATACTCTGAAATGGAAGATGTGACATTCAAATGCGTGAATCGTTTTATTAGTATGCCTATGGAACTAGGTGATTGTGTCCGTTGTGGTCTAGTGGTTAGGATTTACGGCTCTCACCCGTAAGGCCCGGGTTCGATTCCCGGCAACGGAAGACGTTTTGCCGCGCTCGCCCGCAGTGAGAAGAAGAAGCATAGGAAGGGATAAGATCAAAAATCCTTGTTTGATTAATCAGTTTCTCTATGTATTTTCGATACAAGACGAATAGTTCGTTGTGCTCAAGCCCTCCAAAAAATAACTTCTTCAAGGGGCAAACAGTATTTATTTTTTCTTGGAAACAAGCAACGCGACCGAAAAGTGAGGAGGAATGCTTATCTTTGATAATTTTAAAGAAATCGAGGGCTTTCTAAGTTATGAGTGTATAGTGGATTATTTTTGTTTCTTACATTGCTTTCAGTAAGAGCGTTTTTTATGGAAATAATCGGCTAAATATTGGCTGACGTTTTCCTAAAATTCCGGTGATAAGCGTTCCAAGCAAGTAGCAGCTAGAAGTATTAACAGCAGCAATCTCATTAGTTTGGGGTTCGTTGTGGTAAACTTCTTCCATGTTCTGATCATCAAATATTGAGAATATCTGAAGCAATTTAAAATGAAAAATTTACTCAATAAGCTTGGATTCTTAGAGGTTCTCGGGAAAATCTTTATCAATATGCTGCTGGAACGGCGTCAGTGTGTCCGTTGTGGTCTAGTGGTTAGGATTTACGGCTCTCACCCGTAAGGCCCGGGTTCGATTCCCGGCAACGGAAGACGTTTTGCTTTGCGCTTTGATTGGCATTTTCTTACTTATAATTAGAGAATGCTCATTGTCAGGAAATACTAGGTTGGTGCAAAAATAATGGCCGATTTTCCGAGCTTCTCTTCAGGGCAACTTTTTTCCTTCAGAATATCTTCTTTGAAATGCATATGGCATACCACTGAGAAGCAAGTTCTATATTTGGGACTTTGAAGCACATTGAAAAAATGTTGAAAAAAATGAGAAATTTTAAATTTTTATTTTTCTTTCTCGCAAACTTTTTTATCTGAATTCTTTTTATTGTTTTTTGTACTACTGGCTTGCGGCTACAAGATAGGCCACTTATCATTCATACAAACAAACTTTGAAGGAAGTTACGAATTGTCAAAAACAAGGTTCTAGCAGAAAAACCTTTTTTGTCTTTTAGTCCGTATTTCTCTTCCTATTTACGGTGTTGAGTATAAATGAGTATGCGCTGTATTGCGAAAGGTTTGCTGCTTCTGTAGGTCTTTACCACATTAAATGTGGATCTTTTGAATAGTTATAGCGCGTTATAGCATCCAAAGTCCTGCGGAAGTTCTGGCAGGCCAAAGTACTGCGAAACCTCTGGCATTTTTCGGAAGTTCCGCAGCGCTTTTTAAAAAGTCTCGCGGAAGTTCCGGTTTTCATCCAGTTTGACATGAAAATCCCGCGGAAGTTCCGATTCAACTTTTTCATTTTTGCAATAATGAACAAAATCCTGCGGAACTTCTGCAAATTTGGCTTGTCCTGCGGAAGTTCCGGTGATTTGTCTGAGAACCTAATAAAAAGATATTGCCTTAATAATGATTTTGCCCTAAGAATGGAATTTTTTGGGTTACAGGCACTTTTTCTACCACAATGGTGATGATTTCAAAGTCAGTGAATTATGTTTCTTCCGTCTCTATGCTTTGCATTTGTAGCTTAACGAAAAAGAAAATAACAATGGATAAGTAGTTGAGTAACATTTTTCAATAAAAATCTTCCAATTTCTAAGCTGTTTTTCATGATGTCCAGAGATTCGTTCATCCATGCAATCTTTTGCAAAATTCGATTCGACTTTCAGTCGCGAATTCTTCAATCATTTTTACATTTTTTACCATGTTTTCCTTTTTTTGCGCACCACAAGAGAATGGTTTCTTGCACATCAGTGGTTCCCACAAACCGTATAATTGCCTTCTGCTTCTTTGATGACAATCTGTTTTGTTGTACCGCTTAGTATTGTGCGCGTCTGCCACCTGTTAGAGCCTGTGATTACGGTAGATGCTCACCTTTGCGGAATTAGCATTTGCTACATCAAAGTCAATTATGGGTTGTGAGGTCATTGCGCATAGAAGGAAAAATCGAAAATCTGAAATTTTTTCAAAACCTAACCGAATTAGTACATTCGGAGTCCCTGAAGAACAATTGTGTAATTGCACAACATGCACAAAAGTCAAATCAACAAGTTTATTAAATCATACCCGTGAAAAAATTTAAATAAACACACATAATAGAGCAAGTATTTGGTCGTAAAGCAGAAACCACGTAGTTATACCTGAGAAATACAACAAAAAGTAGTTAAAGCTATATAAATGGCTAGCGGAACTAATCGATAATCGATCGAAATGTAAGTAAAAGTCTGTACACTGACTATGAATGACTCGGCCAACAACATAACAAATACGACAATGAAGAGGTACTGTACACACGAAAGCACTGAATGGCGTAACGAGAAGATTGCACGTAAATGACCTGAGCTGAGGAGGTAATCGATAATCGATTGATTGATAATATTCAAATTTGCACATGAGAAAATAGAATAACAACAAGAGCATTTGGATAATTCAGAATGTGATTGCACATTGATGGCTCGACTAAAACTTTGAAACACAGCTTTTTCGGAAATCGGCAAATTGTTGCTAATAGAGTTTAGTTTCAACTTTGAGGAAATATTATACTATCGTAATCTGTAGGCGTCAGATGAAACGCATGGTGTTTCCTCGTAAGTATACCTTTCACCTCAAGTTTTCGAAATTTGATTAGTAAAGTTAATTCCTGAGGCTATTTTTGTCTAGATCTTAGTGTGGTGATTAAGGCATGATTTCCGAATCCTCCTGGACTACGGTAATTGTAGGATTCTGCATTATCTCGACAGATTCCTTGATTTCATAATTCATCTCTGCCTTTAAGTTGTTCACAGCGAGCTGTTGCTTCGAGAATAGTAAGAGCTGAAGTCGGGCAGTTTCTGATTTTAGGATTGCGACCTAGAATAGAACATTTTGATGGCGGATTTTGGCGAAGATGTAAAAAATAGGTTATTAAAGTTTTCTGGAGTGTGGAAATCTGTAATTCTATCGTATGGAATCACAGCGCTTTTGGTGAATCTATGTTGTTACTTAAATTACAACGCGAATTCCATCAAAATTGGCTTGATTTTTGATCTCATATTTCTTTTGAAGATGCAGGGTTATATTGAAAAGAAGCTATCTAGTATTTCGAAGGCCTTTTTTGTAGTTGTAAGAATAAACTGTATCATTCGTTTGATTATTTGTTCTTAGGTTCGGTTCATGGAATTCGATATAATCTTTTTTTTTCAGCAAACTGTTACTCTTACCTGTCCACGTAACTGTCCATTCTCCCTTTCTAGTTGAGCAGCTCTTGCAGCCACTGCTTCTTCTTTCATTCTTCTAGCATCTCTTGATCGTTTTGCTGCATCATTATTTCGTCGTCTTCTCTCATAGTAAGCATCATCCTGTAAAAAATATTTCTCATTATTATACTTACAAGAATCCAGTAGAAATGCTTTACTTTGGGAGTTTCAGGTTTTAGTTGAACAGAAAATTGTAAATTTGTACAGTTTCCTTCTTAAAATCTTTTGATTTCATGAATAGCCAATGGCGCAAAGTTTGCACCGAGATCAGTGAAAATTCATAATTTCTCTAATCTCAACAAAATCATCAGATCCTATGTACTTCAGGAAGTAACAAAAATTGACAGTCAAAAACATCCTTTTAAAATTTAAGTGGTTAAAAATGCTAAAAGAACTAGATGAAACTGTTTTTTACTTTTTTTTTTATAAAAACAGTGCTGATCACGTGTCTTGACGTATAGTTATGATCTTCGAAACATTCTCAAAATTTTTGATATTGCTTGAATTAAGTTCTCTAGTAGTACATGTAGTAGATTGTACCTTCTAAAAACTACTTCGAATTCTCAAAACTCTTTCTAATTTTTGGTGCAAAACTTATCAAGCCATACTTTTCGTCTTAATTTCTCCCTTTCATGTTCTTTCTGCCTTCCAAGTAAATTTTCTTACTCATGTTGCTCGTTTTAACCCACAAAATCTACAGTGTCCCCCTTCCCAAAACCCCTATGTTTCTATGTTTAGGTTACAGCACCAAAAGCCAGAGCAGCAATTAATCCGCGAACGTCTGTTCTGGCCGGAGCAGTTGCGGTTTTTTGTACGAGCACTGACCTCACTCAGCGCAATCGACGCGCAGGTAGCAGTTGCGCACTCGCCGCAAAGAGTCACTCTGATGAGGTCAGTCGAGGTATGCATTACATACAAAAGGAGTGGGGATAGCGGGGGGGGGGGGGGGGGGGGAGAGAAAGGGAGAGAGGGGGGGGGGGAGTGGATAAGACTGGAGGAAGGAAAAACGTCTGATTTGACTGACGAGTACCTAATGACGGCAAACTTCCCGTAGCACACAACACATACTAAATTTCCTAGTTGAAACAGGAATTTTTGGACGGAAATTTTTGGAATGGAGCAGAAATTTTTTGAGCTGGAATGTTTCGAAAAATGCCGAAGAAATCGTTGAGTGATTTTTTGCACAGTTTTTACTGAGCGTAATTAATGAATCATTGTTTCCGTATTATACGGTTCAGTTTTACAACAAAAAAAAACTAGCCTGCCATGAAGTTTTAAGACTTTGTTCCCAGTTTTTCGCTTTTCTAATTTCCTCGTAACAGGCTGTTTTTTGGTAAAAATCGAAAGTGTATTTCTATGTAATTTTGTGGCAGACAGAAACTGCATAAAATTTGGCAATTTTGTAGTATGCAATAGAATTTTTTGAAGCTGAATTATTTAAAAAAAGCATAAGGAATTGCTGGAGAGATTTTTATTAATTTTCCTCATTCATTCTAAGTAAAAAAAAATGATGATACACTGTATCAGTTTTATGTGGATCAGTTCATGGGCAAGTTTTCCTAAAATAATTTTGCTTTTGATGCGCTATTTTATTCTACACAATCTATTTTTTCTTGTAATCGGAACGATATTGTGCTGGACGCAAGAATTCTCTAGAAAAATGGCAATTTCTAGCATGAAACAGGAATTTTTTTTATTTGAACCGTTACAGAAAAAAACGCCGCTTATTGAGAAATTCAAACTTTTTATTAGTCTTATTAATGAATTATCGTACCATTTCATATGGAACAGCTTATTCACAATTCGCTCCATTTGTTGTGGTTTTGTGCTTTATATGCTGGGCTGAATGTTTCAAAGGTTGGAAATTTTTCAAATTTTCGGCGGGTCATTTATGAACCAATTTCGCCATAAATGGATCATTTACTTTATGAGACTCCTTTTTTCTTAATTTCTTGTTGAATTTTTTGTTTTTGACTCGTTTTTCTGATTCCCGCTTACCGTAAGTTTTCTCGAGACCAGTAGCAGTGTAGTATGTTTTACCAATTAGTTCTGAATTTGCAAGAGATTTGTTTGAATTTGCGCCCAAATTTGGGGGCAAATTAGAAAAATTGGATCCCCTTCCCAGATGATTAGCGTACTCACTCTCGTCGACTCGCTCGTCCCCGGGTTGCGTCTGCCCTCCGTTGACCCTTGCAGTGAGCAGTAATTCTGATGGATTAGAATAGCCGACGGTAATTACGCCGCTGTTGTATAAGAATGCTCCCCTAACAGTTGGCCAGCGAAACGGAAACAATGCCCTTGCCTTTTTGAACCCACAGATTAATGGATTATAGTTTCGAGTATGAGCGAAAGGTGCGGACTTACCTTTTTCTCGTCGGGGATCGGTTTGGCAAGTTTTCGGGTTGGAGATGGTTGTGGAGTGGAGAGCTGAAAGGAGAGACATTAAGAAAAACAAACATTTCAAAAACAAAACGTATTTTCTATTTCAAAAACTTTGGGTGAATTTAGACTGATATCTTCAAGCCAGATTGTCGTAGAGGTACGATTACTAGTGACCAATTAGCAGGAATGGGTAAGAATTTGATTTTGATTTCTGATTTTAGGACACAACGTCTCCAGTACTCTTTTACATAGCTATTGGACCAAAAAATTATATCTAAATATTATAAGGGGTCAGACTACGGTGTTAGCGAGCAGCGAGAGCAAAAACCCAAAGTATGCTTGTGAAGTTTTAGCATATTGTCTTCAATTAAAAAAAAAATTTGGGCCAAATACTACCGTATAATAGCGTACTAGTTATATGTGATATCCGTTTTTTATGAAGATATGGTAAAGTTAAATGGTAGCGATCAAGAGTAAAAATCCAGATAGCTGGCAAATTTGGGAGTTAACACATTATCTCCAGTCATTTTTATGCGATTTTCTGTCGAAAGTCCGTATTTTTGAGGCAAGTTTACATATTAAAAAGCAGTTTTCTGATTCTAATAAAATCTAATAATAATTGTATTTTTATCAAACACTAGCTGGCTTACCCGGCTCCGCCGTATCCGGACCAAACTTGGCACGCATACACTTCAGGCCCCGGCGCGTGTCACAGTCCACTTTTCGTTATCGATCGATGTCGATTTTACCGATTTTTATCGATTTTTTCGCAGAGTTCACCTACAGGGCTAGGAGTTGGCACAGGAGGGGAAGTGAGCATGGGGATTCCGAATACAATATTAGTTTTCAGGATCGTCCATTACTTTTATCGATTTTATCGATTTTTTTGTAAAGTTTGACCTGCGGGGCTGGGAGTTTGCACAGGGGGGTAATCGAGCATGCAGATTACGAATACAATATTAGTTTTTGGAATTATCCATTACTTCTATCGATTTTATCGATTTTGCAAAATTTGAGCTAGGGGGCTGGAATTTGGCACAGGGGTGTAATCGAGCATGCTGATCACCCCCCTTGGGAATGATCAGCATGCTCGATTACCCCCCTGTGCCAACTCCCAGCCCCCTAGCTCAAACTTTGCAAAAAATCGATAAAATCGATAAAAGTAATCGATAATCCCGAAAGCCAATATTGTATTCGGAATCCCCATGCTCGATCACCCCCCTGTGCCAACTCCCAGCCTCGTAGGTGAACTCAGCAAAAAAATCGATAAAAATCGATAAAATCGATATCGATCGATGACGAAAAGTAGCCTATGACACCCGCCGGGGCCCGAAGTGTATGTGTGCCAAGTTTGGTCCGGATCGGTTCAGAAATGGAATTTTCTATTCGGAACATACGTACATACATACATACATACAGACAGACAGACAGACAGACAGACATACAGACAAACAGACATTCAGCTTTATATATAAGATTATCTAGAATTTCTTTTTTGCAGTTTCATCGGAGCAAATCGAGACCAGTGACACTTCAAAACAGTTTTTTCAAAACTGCCCGAAGAGGTTACCGTAATCCTACCATTGTTCGGGCTGGAAACTTAGAAAAATGAAGTAAGCTCAGCGTTTTAATGTGTTGTTTTAATATCTGCTTTAGAAGAAGCTCGTGATAGCGAAAGTAAAGGATTCAGAATGCAAATGTATGTTTTCCCTATGAAATTAAATACAGTATTCTTACCGTAGTTCATTCACTGGTACCAAAAAAACACTTATTCATTCACTGGTACAAAGTAAAAATTCACTAAGTTTTCTACCATGAAAATTTCTTGACTTACGCTAATCAAAACATATTCTCCAATGAAAGTGGATACAATAATTTTTGTGCGAAATTATGATTTTTATGGTCCTTTCTCTAGCTTACCTGTGTAGAAGATACGGTACTGCTCTGCGACATTGGACTACATGGTGATTCCAGGCGAGCCTTTTTTGGCGTGGCAGCCGCTTGTGGCTCGGCTGGCGAGATCCCTAGCGAAAGCTGTTCCAACATGGCATTACCGAACTGGAACGGTAGTTGCGTCAGCATCGGATGTGGCAGAAACGAGGCCAGAGGAAATGCGGCTGGCAAGGCGGTTTGTTGCCGGATCAGCGCCGACAACGCGCCGTTGAGGTCCATTTTCTGAAAAAAAGGCATTTTTTGGGATTTTTTAGGGGGGGGGGGGGGAGGGGAATAAATGAGTGAATGAGAATTGTAAGAGAAATGTGCGATGTGACCTGATGACAATAGGTCAGCGCACGGTGATGACACACGTTGACTGTGGAATTCCGGTGTGGGTGTGTTAAGCAGGCTGTGGCGTACGCAGCGCCTGCGCAACAGGCTGCTGACCTCTAAGCTCCGCCCATGAATGGCGGCCAGGATGAGGTCAGCGGAGGTGAACAAAGCCGTTGACCCCGGTTTGTCACCTCACAGCGTAATACACGCAATAGCTCTACAGTATTGCATCACAGCGGTAGGGCTTTGGTGCTGTAATGGAGGGGGGAGGGAGGGGAAAAGAAGAACCAAAAAGTTACACTATAATTTTTTATATAGGATTACTGCGTTGTTTTCCTAGGAATAACAATACTCGAAAAAATTCCAAATCCATGTCTGGCAATGGATGTTGGCCAGACCCCCCCCCCCCCCCCTCCCTTTCTCCCCTCTCCGAAATAAATTGACCAAAGAGGGTCAAGTAGCGTGGCGCAATGCTTAGCAACTTGCTCCTATGTACACAAGTTTGAGCGATTTTATTGGGACCATCTGTTGCGGGACAATACTCCGAAGCAAAAGTCCTGTGTAATTCTGGGAATTTCAGAAAATTGTTTTTGGAGCGCAGAGCGCAAAAAGATTGGGAAAAATTCTGACCGTGACCGTTTTCTTCACAAAGGTTTTTTTCACTTTTTACGGGTAAAAACTTGAACAAACATCACCGATGCAGATCACATTTAAAGTATTCGCGAACTTTTTTGAAAGAGGGGGGGGGGGGGTGGGGAAGGCGTCAGTCTGCTTTTGACGAATACATATCGCTAGCGAATGAGAATTTGACACAGCACCAATGATTTATTTTTTTTGCTAGAAATAGTATCGTACCACAATTTCCTACACACAAGGCAGTTTTTGAATTATATTTTCCTTAAATTTTGCTTTTTGATACGAATGCTGACTTTCTGACTACCACAATATGGTTTTTTGAATAATTAGTTAGGTTATTTGTACAATAGGTGAGCCTATTTCATTGGGATGTTTGATCTGGAAAGTTTTTTTTATCTGATGAAGAAAATCAAAATTTTTCAGTAGATCTCACCATTTTCTCACTCTAGATTTGCCTTTTTTTGCGAGAACAGTGGGGTGCCGAATTTTTGAAATTGTTTTCCTATCCCTACATTCTGTTTTTGCATTTTTGAACTTTTTGCCCTCCAAAATGAATAAATAAACTTTTTGTTGTGTTTGAAAATTTTGCGCCATAAAATGATGACGAATGTGGAATGTTTTGGTAGCCAAGACGCAATGTGTGCCGAACACAAAACAGCGCGGCATCGTCCTTTCAATAAAAATTAGCCCGGACCACTTGTGCCGTCGAGTGTCAGTGTCCCTTCTGATAGTATTATCCATCTTTTTGCGCTCTGATGACAAGCACCCAAGCGAATTAAGCTGTAAGAGCCTTTCGAGTGCCACCGGGCTTGCGCCTTTCGCGCACCGCCCGAGAATCCTCGACCCACGGTCAGGTGGTGTACGGTATCACATTACGTGAGATGCGTTGGATTTTTTTTAGGGGGGGGGGTACGATATGGACATTGTAGTACCTGTGTGTGCTTATTGGGGTACGGTATGAACAATATAGTGCCATGCACGTGCTTACTGGTGTACGGTATGGGCACCGTAGTAGCTATACGTGGATTTTGGGATACGGTATTCCCACTTTAGTGGCATGCATTTACCTGTTGGAGTACGCTATGGGCACTGCAGTACCATTGTGTTGCTTTGTCGTGTACGGTATGGACACTGAGTTACCTGATTGCATGGGACCATTGTTGCTTCTCCGTAAAAAAATATGCAATGGTGATCTCGTCGACGGGGGCTATGCGCATCGTCACTGTCACCATTGTTTGATGGACTAATCAAATCGGCTCTGTTTTGTGTGTGCTCTCTGACCTTAAATCGTCCATGCGGTTAGCGATTAATCGTCTAGGGAATAGGTGGAGCAGCAAGAAATTACATATTGAGCAGGATTACGGTAGCCATTTTCGTTGAAGGGAGTGTGGCCAAATGTGGTTATGTGGGCCTTCTTACATAAAAAATGGATTTTATACCTCAGTTTTAAGCCGTTGCTGGCTTATAAAATATGATCGTTTCCGAGAAACTCAATACTAGAATCTTGCCCAATACCGTATTCGGCTGATTGGTGCACTTCGGAGTCCGGTACCTGGGCGAAAGTTGAGAGGTTAGATTTTTCGGCCTATTACTGTATCTGCTCGCCTCATACTTGCTTTTCTGTCCACTAACTTCGTATATAACTTTTAATGCCTACAATACACTTACAGTAATTCATTATCTGTGGACTTAGAGTAGTATTGTGTCACTATCGGTCAATGCACTCAGTTCTTTAATGGACACGGCTCTATCGAGAGTATTGGCATGACCGCAGGTCAGCAATGTTGACCCGAACGTCTTTTACGTTCCGGACACTTTGTTTGACTTAGATAACACACTATGCGTGAGGTGATCGTCGACGGCAAACTCGTCCTGAGTTGCGTCGGATGAGAAGGGTGACTGTCATACGGGGGTTGTCACGAGAAAAATCAAAAGGTAACTCCAGAAAACGAACCAGTTTTTGGAAAATTTTCGGTCCTTTTTTCTTGACCAAGACTAAAAGTAGCAGTTCAAAATTGAGTTCTTTATCTGAGAAAATTTTCGACCTTCTCTTCTCCATGCGCGTTATTTTTTTTGTCCTTGATTTTTTTTTGTATCGACTTAAACTCACTTTTAGCTGTATGTAAATCCAAACCTTGCTCGTTGCATAACAACTGCAGTACCCATTGGCTACTTTGCTCAGAACATCCGAAAGAGTATGTGGAAAATGTGCAGTGTTAGCCCGACAATAACAAAAGCATAATTGGGATTGTTCCGTTAAAAAATCCGGAATAATTTTTCGTTCATGCCACGATATCAAGGTGGTTATTGCTTCCTGAACATCAAGAAAGTAAGTTTTTTTTAGTCAATAGGCAATATTTTCTCCTTCTTTTGGTATACGGCAGCAGCAGACGCAAAATTCCAACTTTGTTTTCTGATCGCTCATGTGTAACTGAGATCTTTGAGGCTTTTGATAATTCCGTGATATTCTGTTGACAACTCCGTGATATATTGTGGCTCGCTGAAACGTTTTTAGTGGGAAGTCTTTTTTTTTCATTTGAGAAAACCCAACGATCACTTGGCCAATATCTTTTGAAATTTTTTTCTGCAGTAATTAGCTTTTCGAGAACAAAATTGACTAAATGTACAACAAACAATTATCAATTTTGATATCATTTTTACTTGCTTCACTTCACTTTCTATGACTTGCTCTTCTGGCTAACCAGAAAGAATAACGAAAGAATTTAGAAAGATCACAAAATACTCCAGAACAATCTTCAAACGCAGTCGTTATATGTAGCAGCCGTGAAAAGGAAGGAGACGTGTCCGTTGTGGTCTAGTGGTTAGGATTTACGGCTCTCACCCGTAAGGCCCGGGTTCGATTCCCGGCAACGGAAGACGTTTTGCACCCTGAACCTGATCCCGATGGACATACAAAACTGCATTGAAATAAGCGGAAAAGAATTTCGGAAAGTTTATTTCTACGATATTTTAATTGCTTTCTTTGAAAATGTCGAAAAAATCTTTATTTTGAATATTGAGTCAGGACTGTCACGAATTGAGCTTATAGTATGTCATTCTGTTGATTTTGCACCAAAAATTGCAATGATCGTTGAAAAATGTCTAAAAAATGACGATCCGTAACATATGGGTTTTGTTCCTATAATATCAAAAGCAAATGTAGAGTTGAATTTTATGATTCTAGATTCTAGCATCTTTCACAACCAAATGGAGAAAATATGATTTGAGCACCAACAGAAATTCATGATTTTCTCTAATAATTTTCGCGCGAAAAGGAGCATTGGAAATAGTCGGGCTCATATATCTTTGAATAATTTAATGAAAGGCATGAGGCTAATATGACTTCAAAATACGAATTTTCTTCTGAATAAAGTCCATCATCTCACCCCTTGGGCAACAGTAGTTGTGGTACATTTATTACTTTCAAAGAATGGTGTCCAATAGTAAATGACTGGGCTTATATATGAATCATCAATTATAAATAGCCATTAAACACTGACAGTTGTTTCGATTGTCCTATACATGTGAAACTTGATCTGTTTTAGATAATCGCTGACCAGGATTTATCTCTTTCTCGAACCTTCGGAAGACGAGCATCGCCAATCACTTCGGACCTGCTTTATATAAAGGAACAGCTGTGGATCCACTCCAGCAAAATCTGCAGGCAATTATGGAGCTTATTTTGCCTAAACGAATAAAAAATTATTCATGCAAGGTTGTCGGCTAAAGATGGAACATTCATAAGATCCACCATTTAACACACAACTTAGACGGAAAATGTGTATGCAAAAGTGAGACAACTTCCCATAATTGAAAAATTTCGTCAATTTCTCATCTTTATTGCTGAGAGAAAATGAATTAGGTGTTCGTAAGTTACCGCGGAAGTTTTTTGATGCCTTGTTTTTTGGTTCTCACAATGGCAATAAATGACTCACATCACCAGACTTGGCTACTTCAGTTACGAGTGCTGAGTTTCTCCTTGAAATCTGTAATTTTTGTGAGGAAACGAGTTTATTACGTAACCTTCATATAAAAGGCAAGGGTAAATCTCATATGACGTTCAGCTAGATGAGTCAAGCTCCAAGGTTGTCGCGACCTCGAGCAGAATAGTCATTTTCTTGTTCAGTTCTTATTGCACTCACCTGATGAAAACGCTTAGTTTTCATAAGAAAAAAAAACTGCAGAGGTGTTTTTCAGCCAAACTCGACTATAAGTGCAGTTCTCGTTTTGATATGTAATTAGAATGGGGGGGGGGGAGGGGGGAGCGT